CACTCCAGGATTTGATGCCACCTCTGCTCATAAATCCCTGGGCAGGTGACAGGTGACATCCTGTCTGTCACCTGCTGAGGGGCTCCAAGGCAACAACAAAGCATCCATGCCTGGCAATTCCTCATCCCTGCTCCAGGAGCTGTCAGTGGCCTTTGACAGCTCCAGCAGGAATTGGAAATCATGGATAAATCTCCTGATGTGGCGCTTCCATCACTCCTGGGGAGCAGGATGGGGATGGGAGCGGGTGGGTGATGCCTCAGATGGGGGGATCCATGGAACATGGCCCAGCTGTGCTCTGGGATTGTTCCCATCACTCCTCCTCTGCCAAGGGTGGGGTTTGGGAGCCGAGCACTCGGAATTCTCCCCTGGCCCGTGGGCGTGCATCGCTCAGATCCAGCCCTGGCACAGCTCCGAGGGAAGCACGTGGGGAAATGGGGGGAATGATGCAAGATTGGAGGCAAAGAGAGGCTCTGTGAGGGTGTTTGGGGGCTGAACCAGGTGGAGATCCCTGACCTGCCCATCCCAGGGGTGGGATGCAGCAGGATAAGGTGCCAGCCTGAGGAGCACAGCGGGATTTGGCCGTCCCATCCCAGCCCTGCTGTGTTTCTGGGGCTATTTATAAGCTCGAGTTGCACAAGGTTGGGACTGGGGTTGTTTTTTTTTTCCTGTGGTTGTATCAAATCAGCGAAAAAAGGGAACGGGAGCCGTCTCCTGAACATCCTGTCTGTGGCTTCTTTATTTGTGCAGGGAGTTTGCCATCGGATCGGGAGGCAGTGACGGGATCCGGAGCTCGGGACCGCAGCGGGTGTGGAGCAGGGATGAGCTCCCTGGGGGAAAGGCAGGGCAGAGTTATCCCTGGGCATAAACCCAGCTCTAAAACCCGGGATTTGGAGCTGGGATATGCAGTGGGAGCCTCCTCTCTTGCCCTCGTAGCTGAGCCCAGCTCCTTTTCCTGCCATTCCCATTTATCCCCACGGCTCTGCCCGGGGCGAGGGAAGGTGCTGCTGGATGCCGGAGAAAGCTCTTCCGGAGAGAGAAAACTTCCAAACTTCCTCCAATTTCTTCCCCATTGACTGCCACATCTGTTTCGGGATGAGTCAGGCTGGTTCCCAGAGCCTGTGTGGGAGGGAAGAAGGGCGAGAACCGGAGGGTCGGACCTGCCGGGCTCCGGCCGTGTATCCCGACCCCATCCGCGCATCTTAATCCCACCCGCGCATCTTAATCCCACTCGCGCATCCCGGCTTCACCCGCGCATCCCGGCCCGATCCGCGCATCCCGGCCCGGCAGGGAGCTGCTCCAGGGCGTTTAATCAGCCCAAATCAATTTAGAGCTTTAATTGCTCTGCTCGGTGTGGGTGGCACTCGGCGCTTGCCAAGGACACGACAGCTGCCAAAGGCTGCGCCGGCTGCGGCGCCTGGAATTGCCGCTCCCGACGGCGGCTCCCGAGCGGATCCTGCTCCATCACCAGCCCTGGGAACAGGGATTTGTCCTCCCGCAGGCGCTGCTGCCGGCAGGGCTTTGCTGAGCAGGCGGTGCCGAGTGCCCCGGAGGGAAACCCCAACCCACAAACGCTCGGGATGGGAAATGACATCCCAAGTCAGCATGTTTTCCTTGCTAAACACAAGGATCAGTGTGAGACCAGCATCCTGCATCCTGCCTGGGCGTGGGGAAGTGGCAGGTGCCTGGGAAAGGAGGCAGTGCCAAGGGATGGGTTGGTTCTGTGGGGCTGCAGAGCTCGGCCTTGCTGGGAACACGGGGATTGTGCCAGGTCTGGGCTCTGGATCCTCCAGAGCTGCCGGGATTTCGGTCATTGCTTGATGTCCTGAGGTCAGACCTTGGCAAGGCCACGTGCAGGAGCATCCATGGCCCAGCATTCCCAGCCCCAGCAGGCCCTGGGGTGGTTTTGGGAAGCCCAAAGTTCCTCACCAGGTCCCAGCTGGTGCCACCTGGAGCTGCTTGGGCTGAGCATCTCTTGGTGGCACCGCTGGACTCCAGACACACAAAAGGAAATCCCATCAGTTTGTGGCTGGTTTTGTCCCTTACTGCTGGATTCAGGATGTTTTTTGCTCTGTCTTTACAGCTGAGGGTAATTAATTAGCCTTAATTAGTATCCTGTGGTAGACAAACTTCCTTTCTTCTGGGGAGAGGGTTGGAATGGCTGGTGACAAACTCAGGGCAGCGTTGCTTGAGCTGGGGTGTCCCAGTGGGGCAAATCCTGCTCCTTTTCCAGGCTGGGGGGGCATCACTGCCAAACGTTCTTGTGTTTCCTTGTGCTGCCTTTGCTCCCAACCTCTGCACTGGCTCTTATCCCGCTGGGAGGGATGCTGGGATTGGGATGGATGCTGGGACTGGGATGCCTGAGGCTTGGGAGCTGCGTGGGGAGGGAAGGAATTTTCCCGGTGCCACATCAAGCCCGGGGTTATCCAAACCTCCTGCTCTGTGTGGGTGGGGCTGCGCTGCTCAGTACTCCCAATCTGGGGGGCTGCCCCAAAAACCTCTTGTTTGCCACCCTGAACCCCATCCCTGCATCCAGCCTTTCCCATCCCTCCTACTCGGGGGACCCTGGAGCCTCTCCCAGCTCCTTTGTGGTCCCCAGAAAACTTTTCTTGCAGGTGTTAAAGGGGCTGGGGTGACAGAGCTGCCACCACAGAGCCTCTGCGGGCTGGGGGGGCTGCCTGGAAGCAGCTGCAGCATCCTGGTGGTAATGAAATCCATCGGGAAAAGCAGCCCCTGAGCAGCAGGAGCGGCGTTTGGGAGCCAGACTTTGCCTGAAGGGAAGTGACTCAACGTCTTGGAAGGAGTTGGGGGCGGTGGGGGGAGCAGAGGACAGCGGCTGACCCAGGGTGGGGACAGCGCAGCGAGGGGGGCTGGCTGCCACCTGCCTCCCCTCGGGCTCCCGGCTGGAGCAGCATCCCCGCGGAGCGCTCTGAGCTCCGTTATCCCTCCGTGGGACGGTGAGCTCCGGCCCGGGGGGCGGCACAGGAAAGGAGGCCCCTCGGGAAGCAGCTTGTTGCTTCCTCACGCTGGGTTGTGATCCAGGCCAGCGTTCCCAGCTCCCGGCGTCACACCCTCTCCCAGCTGTTGCTCGCCGAGCATCGCGCTGCCAAGAAAACCTTGGTGATGGATGCAACTCCCTCCCCTCTCCCTTAAAACCGGCGGGGAGCGGCACCGTGCCTGTGTCTGTCCCGGCACGCCGGGATCCGCCTGGGAATGGGATCCCGCTGGCACCCAGGGCACCCCGAGCTCGTCCTGCCCGGCGCGGAGCAGCGGGACAGCGTTGGCACCGCACGAGGTATCGGGAGAGGTCACTTGGTGGGGACACTGGGGGAGCAGAAGGGACAGCAGGTGGTGGCAGAGCCATGGGGCAGATCCAGCCTGTGCCACTCCCCAGCCGGGTCCGTGTTTCTCGTGGTTTTTACAATTTTGGGCTGCATTTCCCACTGCCCCGGGGCACCTCCTCTGCACCTGGGGACTGCCAGAGGTGCCACAAGCATGGAACATCCCGGAGCTGCCACCCCATCCCGGGGGTCCTGGGAGAGAGGGACCCCGGGGAGCCGGTCACGAGTCCTCAGCCTGGTTCCACAGGAGGATTGGCACATCCCTGCCCGGTTCACACTTCAGGGCTTTCTGGGGCTTCTCCTTTCCCCGAACCGGCACATCAGCATTTTTTCAGCCCTGATTCAGCTCGGGGTGTTGCGACACAGAGTTGTGCAAAGCTGGCAGTGCCTCCGATTCCTCTTTTTCGGCTCTCGCGGGAGCTGCTCCGCGTGGGACGGGGTCAATGTCCCCACCTCACAGGACACGGTGGCCTCGAGCTCCCTCCCACCTGCCACCACTCCCTGCTGGCATCACCCCCTGTCCCTGGTCACACTTGGGTGGTGCTTTTCCAGCTCTGAGGGAACTGGGATTTGTCCCTGGAAAACTGGTGGATCCTGATGTCGGAGGGCAGGTGGGGACTCTGGTGATGCTCTTTCACAGCACGGTGCAGCTTTTGCTCCAGGTGTTTTGCATCTCCCTCTGGATGAGCTCTCCTGGCTCAGGGCAGGGATTTTTGTCCATCCATGCTCAGCTTGTGCTGGATCACTGGCTGCCACTGGCAATTTCCAACTCCTGGCAGGCACAGCGTTGAGGTCAGGATGGTTGGGGACAGCTCTTGGCTGGTGACCCTCTCTTTGAGGGTACAAACCAGGCCAGGCTGATTTCCTCACTGGGAATGCACTGTGGCATGGGCAGGACCTGATGAGCAGCTTCTCTTCTTCCCTGCACCCCTGGAATGGCTTTGGGTTCCCCCTCTCCTGTGTGTGAGGCCAGGAGCATCCCAGGAGCAGGGCCTGGATTTGGGGTGCCTGGGGAGCAGGGATGAGGGGCAGCACAGGTGGAGGAGCCCGAGGGGACCCTTTGGCTCTGCTCACAATGAGGGACACCCAAACCCTTCCCAAAGGCTCCCAGGAGATTCCCAAGCCACTGTGGGCAGCACAGGAGCCGTGGTGGATGGGGCATGTCACTGGTGCCACATCCCCTTCTGTGTCCGGCTAAACTCCGCAAGCTCAACATCCTCCCCCAGAGCTTCCCCTTGCAGCTCTGCTGAGGCCAGCAGCTGGTTTATTCCACGGGCTGCATTTATTTTCCTCATCCTCCCATCCCATGTGCTTCTCCTCGGGATGAGAAAGCTCGGCAATATCCGTGTCAGCTCCAGCTGGATGCCAAAGCCACAAGCCCAGGGTCGTTCCCATGCCAGCCCTAACAGGGCTGGAGGAGAAGCAGAGATGTCTAATGCAGCCTCTAAATGCTGAAAATTCCTTGGGGATTTATCCAGCTCAGGTAAACACCACTGGATTGATATCTATTTGTTAATTTTTTTTTTTTTTTTTTTTTTTTAGGGATTTAGGAGGAAGGGTTTGCAACCAGTTGAGGTTTTTTCCTCCCCTGTTGTTATACAGTGGTTTTGGGATCCCCACTCTCCTTCACCCCAAACCCCCTAATTTTCCCAAAACTCCCAACCTCTTTCGGAGCTGGGCTTTGCAGCCTGCGGGGTGGGAAAACAGCGCAGAAGGGAGAGGAGCTGGCAATGAATTTGGGGGGGTTGATGCCCTGACAGTGTGGCAGTGTCCCCCGGCTGGGGACAGGGAGAACAGGGTGGCTTTTCTTTGCCGTGCTGATCAGCATTCAGCTGGGGACACAGAGCACAGCTGGGAGGATGCTCCCGCGGATCCGGGGTGACTTCCTCGCTCGGGGGGGGGGCTGAGTCTGCTGTCCCCAGCCATGCCACATCCCCTGCGGGGTCACGTCCCTCCCGCAGCCCTGTTTCTGTTTGCTCGGGTTTCTTTCCCTTTGTACGCCCCAAATCTGGAGCGATGTCCCCAAGGTTTTGTCCCCTGACAAAGCCCAAGCCAAGGTTAGGGACAGCATCACTGCACTGCTGGGATGTAGCAGGCAGGATGCTCAGAAAAAGTGAGGGGTTTTTTTTTCTTTTTATTGCCTGAAAAGTGCCAGGAGAAAACCTTGGATTATTAGAAGAGAGTAGAGGAGATGAAAGAACTTTCATTATCTTGGAAGCCAAGTCATTTTAGGCAGCTCAGAAGTACAAACTGCCCTTTTTCAAGGAAATCTTTGCCTGTGTTGGTGCAAACGCCCAAAAATTTTCCCCTTTAATCCTCAAACCTTCCCAAGAACAGAACAGATGGAGCAAAAGGCCAGGATTTTACGAACGGGGTGGCTCTTTCAACACTCGGTGCCAGGGAAGGCCGAGTTCCTCTGCCGGAGTTTCACCCTGGGAGGGGCCTTTCATGACCCAAATTTTGAGGTTAAACCCCTTCTTCTGGCAGCATTGGGGCGCTTTCCCCATGGGGGTGACCCCACCATGTGACCTGGAGGATCTGTGGGATCCATCCCATCCTATCCCGACCCATCCCGCTCAGCCTGGCTGGCTCTGCCCAGATAAACACTGACTCATGTTTTTCTGTCCCACCCTGGGCACAGCAGCTTTTTTAAGGCTGCCTTTTCCAGCTATTCCCTTTTTCCTGCACTGTTCACACGGGTGTGGTGCAGCCTCAGCCTCAGGGATGCAGGGAGAGGCTGCCGGGTGTGGGGGTCCCGGATCCAGGATGGAGAACTGGGATGTGTCTGAGTGGATGCAGGTAGGGATTAAGCTTCCCACTGCTCTCTGTGCCTCAGTTTCCCCCTATAGCTGTGCCTCCTCGCTTTGTCCTGGGTGTCTCCAGGTGCTGGGGGAGGTTTGGGAGAATTTCCAGCCCGGATTCTTGCTGGCAGGAGCTCATTCTCAGCCTGCTGCTCCCATGGTATCCCACATCCCTGTGCCTTTCCCAGCCTGCTGGAGAGGGACAGAGGGGTCAGGGGTGGTGGCAGGGCTGGAGTCACAACCAGGAGCAGCTTTTGGGAAGGCTGGAGCTGTAAACTCCCTCTTGATGGGCTGGTGGTCGATTGACACTGAGGAATGGGGCTTCATCCCAGGTATCCCGGTGGGGAGTGGGATGCTGAGCAGCCTCATCCCTGTGGCATCTGTTTCCACGGCAATCACCTGCTAAAATAAAGGGGCTGGGTACCCAGAGCTGCTTTGCCATTTGGTGCCTTGCTCCCTGAGATTCCTGGCAGCTGGATCCCTGCAGGGATGTCCCTCCTGTGTACCCCTGGGCTGGAAACTCGTGGGTGCCGGGGGGATTGGTGGGGTGGCCTCGGGTGCCAGCTCGGAATGGGGTTTGCATCTGCCTTCCCTGGGGCATAGGATGCCATGGAATTCTTAGGGAAATTCTTAGGGAATTATTAGGGATACAGCCCGCAGGGTGGGACTCAGCCAGAGCTGTGAACCCCCACGGAACAGGGACCAGCACCTGCCACATGTCCCCAGGGACATGCCTGCCCTCCAGGGACATCCAGGATTGTGGCAGGGCTCGGTGGGGTCTGGTGCCAGCAGCTCCAGAGGGACGTGGAGGTCCCGTTTTACCCCGAGCCCTTCCCAAAGCTGAGCTCCAAACATCTGCCTGCCATTCATCCCCCTCTCCCGGGAAGCTGTGCCGGAGCTGCCCGCGCCTCCCACGCCCGGAGGAAGCGGGATGGGGTTTGGGGTGCGCTGGGAGCTCGGGAACGGCCGATGGGAAGAGGAGAGGGAAGTGCTCCAAGGAAGGAAAGGCAGAGCAGCTGCCGGGGAGGAGGCGGCAGCAGGGCGGGCGCGGACCCGGCTGTTCCCCGGGGGATTTGTTTGTCCCGTGCCGGGGACAAGAATTTTCTAGAAGGGACAAGCACCGACCCCAGGGCTCCCCAAATTTCCCCAGCCCTGGCAGGTCCCAGCCCGGATCCATTTCATGATGTACATCAAAGCGTGATGCACTTTGACAGCTCAGGCAGGGTCTGATGTACTCAAAAGCTGCTCTGCTGGTTTGATTTAATTTAATTTGATTTGATTCGATTAGGTTCTATCAGTTCTCCTCAACCTGTCCCACTAAAAGCCTGGCCGGCGGGCAGGAGGCGGTGCTGGCAGCCTGCCCATCCCTATAAACTCCGGGAGCAGGGCTCTGGCACCGCCCTGCCCGCCGGGATCCGCTGCCAGCCGAGGCCCCGAGCATCCCCTGCCCTCCCCGTGTCCCCGGGACGCGGATCCCGCCGCCTTTCCCCGCTCACATCCGTCCCCCGCCCGTCTGCCTTGGCCGGGGCAGAGCTTTTTCGCCCAGAAAAGCTGGATTTGAACATTTTCTGCTGTTCTCTCGGTTTCCTGTTGCCTTCCCAAGAACAACATCCCTGACCTCATCCTCCCCCGGTATGTGCCGGGATGCTGCCGGTGCTCGAGCCGCCCGTCGGGAATCCCACCCGGCCTTCCCTGGGTACCAAGACAAACACAGCTGCGGGAATGACGGAGAAAAGGCTATTTTGGGTAAACCCTCTGCTCGTTTTTGTTGAGGTAGGAGGACAAAGATTAATAGATTGAAGGGAGAACAGTGGTTTTGGCTTGAGCAGGGAATTTTCAGCCCAGAGAGGAGCAATGAAACACTCTTAGTATTATGTGGCTTTTTTATTTATTTTTTTTTTCCTCTCACAGACTTCAGAGTTTTTTTTGCTGTGAGAAATGAGGAGGTTTCATGCAGCTGCTCCTGAGACTTTCCATTTTTGAGAGAATTTTGGAGAGGCAGGTGGGAGTTTGCTGGATGATTTTCCTGCAGGACTGGGCTCCTGGTGCCCATCCTGCCCATCTGGAATGTTCATGGTGGGATTGGCCTGCTGCTCCTGTGGAGTTTGGGATTGCTCCTCATGAGCCCTGCAAACAAACCCATCCTCTGCCAAATCCCACAGGGAAGCAGAGTCCTGGTGTTCCTGTTGCTCTCTGCCATCCTCATCCCAGCTGGGAACAGAGACCAATCCCTGCAGAGCAAAATTAACAGAGAATTCAGATAAATAATCCAATAAAATGAGCTTTGGGATGAGCTGAAAGTCATCAGGTCCAGCAATTAAAAATGATACTAAAGGGAGGATTTTACATTAAAAACATGGGAGTGGACCCAGTGGGAAGAGGAGTGGGAATTTCTCCTGTCCCTCTGGAGCAGGGGCTGAATGTGGGGTAAGAGTGAGGGGTGGGAGTGTCTCACTTGCCCCATGGATGGCACCACAGTGGAAAAGGTGGCTGTGGAGCAGGTCCAGGGAGCTTTGGGGTTCTCTGGATGATGGGATGGGATATGATGCAATGGGGTGTGGTGCGATGGGAGGCAATGAAGTGGGGTGGGATATGAGGCAATGGGGTGGGCTGGGATGGACATGGGGTTCTGGGCTCCCCCACCTTTCTGGAGCTCTGCCTTTGGGAAGGGGATGACCTGAAATCCCTGTTCCATAAAGCAACCCTCATTAATCAACATTAACATCTCTGGGAGAGTCAGTTCTGCTGATTCTGTTCCTTCCACCGGATCATCGACTTTAATTCATCTCTTTGGCCATCGAGGTTTTCCTGGGACAAGGCTCCTGCTCCAGCTCATTCCCAAACTTTGCACTCAACCCTCATTTGTTCTGGCTGCTTATCGTCCCCCGGAGCTCGGCCAGGGGGAGGTGACAGGGTGGGATTTCACCCCCGGCCGGGGACTCTGCAGCAGCAATGGCAGGAAGGAACAGCAGGAAAAGCCCAGGGAGAAACAATAGCTTCCAACACAAACACCATGGGAATTTCAAAGCAGGGCTGGCGGGAAGGTTAAGCTCAGGGACCTTTGGGGTGAAACTCCTCGGGAACAGGGAGGGTCCTTGGGCGTCCCCACGTCCCTCCTGTGAGGACACGTCCGGGTGGGATGCTCTGTGCTTCTCAGACAGGCTTTGGGGGATTTTGGTTTTAAATCCCCTGAGCCATTTAGGGGGTTTTGTATCCTGGATTCTCACAGGGGAGAGGTTGAACCCCCTCAATCCAGGCTTTGGAGCCTGGAGTCTGACAATGGCAGGTGATGCTGCTGATTCACCACAATTAACATATTTAAACATACAGGGCATCAACTGAATCGGGAAAACAACCCTGTGAGAACGCAGGATATAAAATAGATCGTGCAGACAACGTGGGCCTCATTTATACCTTGAATTAATTATTATCTAATTATTAGTAACCTGTGGTTGGTTGTTCGGTTCTTTGTGTGCACCTGAGGCTGCTGCTCGTGTTTGGTCCTTGCTCAGAGGGTACAGGCTGGGATTTCTGTCCTGGCTTATCCCAAAAGCTGCTGGGATCAAGGCAGGACCCCGTCTTCCCCAGTCCCTCGAGGGAGGCTGCACAGGGTTAATTGTTGCCACACCCTGATTGGGTTTCCTCCCCTAACCCCACATCCGGGGGTGAGTGGCCTTTCTTTGATCCTGGCTTTAATGTTACAGCTCATGCCTTAGGCCGGTGTGGAGGGAGCTGCAGTTGTGCCCTGGGACACTGAACTGTCACCTGTCCCCATCCCGACAAAGAGGAGAGAGGTGAGAGGGTGCCTGGTGTCAGTGGGGTGTGTGGGGAGCTTCCCTTTGGGCTTTCAGTCCACTTCAGTACAAAAAAAAAAAAAAAAAAAAAAAAAAAAAGAGAGAAGCCATAATATGTTTCAGATTGGAAAGTCAGAGCTGTTGATGAGCTGTTAATGAGCATTATCCCGGTTTTCCCTCTGGAAGTAGGCGGGTAAGCAACGTTTTCTGCAGGATGAGGCTGCAGCCACATCCTGGTGGAGCTGAGGGACTGAATCACGTCCTGATGCCTCATGGATGGGGGTGGAAATCAGGGAGGAGCTGTGGGAGCATCTTGTTCAGGACCGGTGCGTTCCGTGGGATCCCCCATTCCTGCGTGTTTGTCCCTTCTCTCCCTGTCCCCAATTCCCACACGTGCTGGGGGCCGTTGTCCCTCCTGCTCTCCTCACTGCGATTAACACCAAGTGTTTGCTCAGCAGGGGAAGATCCCTGGCCGCAGACCCCAGCATCCCAGCTCCCCGGGATCACACGGATCAGCTGCCGTTCCCAGGGAGGATGGCGCTTCCCAACCTCTCCGATTACCTGGACGGCCTCAATAACAACTACAGCGACTACGCCGACTACACCTACGAGGACAGCGGCAGCGTGTGGGCAGACCCGGCCCACGACCCCAAGGACATCACCAGGATCCTGTCTGTCATCATCTACAGCGTGTCCTGCGTGCTGGGCATCCTGGGCAACGGCCTCGTTATCGCCATCATCACCCTGAAGATGAAGAAGTCGGTCAACGCGGTCTGGTTTCTCAACCTGGCCGTGGCCGACTTCCTCTTCAACATCTTCCTGCCCATCAACATCGCCTACACGGCCATGAGCTACCACTGGATCTTCGGCACGGTCATGTGCAAGCTGAACTCCTTCCTCCTCATCCTCAACATGTACACCAGCGTCCTGCTGCTCACCACCATCAGCTTCGACCGCTACGTGTCCGTGGTGTTCCCGGTGTGGTCGCAGAACCACCGCTCCACCAACCTGGCCTACGGGGTTTGTGTGATCATCTGGACCGTGGGCATCGTCATGAGCTGCCCCTCGCTCGTCTTCCGGGACACGGCGCAGACCCGAAACTCTGTGATTTGTTTCAGCAACTTCTCCCTCTCCAGTAATAAATCCTACGAAGGGCTGGCTCTGATGAGGCACCGCACCGTGAACATCACCAGGTTCCTGGCCGGGTACATCCTCCCCATCACCATCATCACCTTCTGCTACGTCGCCATCGTCTTCAACCTGCGCCGCAACCGCCTGGCAAAGTCCAAGAAGCCCTTCAAGATCATTGTCACCATCATTGTCACCTTCTTCCTCTGTTGGAGTCCCTACCACCTGCTGAACCTGCTGGAGACGGTGCCCGACACAGTGCCCTGGTCTGTGTTTGAGATCTTCATCCCACTCACCACGGCTCTGGCAGCCTCCAACAGCTGCATGAACCCCGTCCTCTACGTCTTCATGGGCCAGGACTTCAAGAAGTTCAAGGTGACCCTCCTTTCCAGGCTGGTGAACGCCCTCAGCGAGGAGACAGGACACTCCAGCATCGTGCACAGGAGCTTCTCCAAGGTCTCCTCCATGACTGAGAAGGAGACAACAGTTGTCTAAACCCAGCCTGCAGGAGGGACAGAATCCCCTGGTGTTGGCGCTGTGATGGTGACCAGCCCTGGTGTGGTCAAGCATTGTCCAGCACTGTCCTACAGCCCATTTTTGACTGGTGTTGCTGCCTGGGGGCTGGCAGGGGATGGAGACCCCCAAGGTATGGAGAAGACACCACCACCCTTAATCTTGGGTGGGATTGCAAAAATCCTTGTGCCAAACTAAGAATACATTTTTGGGCATTGGCTGACCCAGGAAGGGCTTTCCTGGAGTTTCCAGAGACACTGTGGTGGGGTGCAGGATATCAGGAAGGCATCTCCTGTGCCATGGCCAAATTGGTGGCACTCCTCTGTCCCATGTCTGTGTGTGGCTCCCCATGGTAATTCCTGAGGTATTTTGGTACCAGAACAAGGTGTTTGTGACTTTTTTTGGGAAGTGTCCTTAGGAGGGGTTGGAATATCCCGCCTCAGAGAACTGGGAAGTCTCAAATGTCTTCTAAGTGATCCAGACCCAGGGCCACCTTGTCCCCACCAGTGTGGGGACTGGGCTCACACACAGGGTTGCCAGCATGGAAAACTGGGAGAAGAAAGAGGGAAAGGTCAATTTGAAATGTCTTTTTAGCCCTTCTTTTGATGGGCACATTCCACACGGTACATCCTGCAGAACAATTGGATGTCTGGGGCTAGGAACAGGCCCATGAGCTTCTGGGGAGGACCTGCTGTCCTCTCTTGCATCCAGGGGAGCCTGGCTCTGTTGCCAGCTGTTCCCTGCTGGGATCAGTTGATTCTACAGGATGATTTTGTCTCTCCTGTCTTGGGACACTCTGGGAATCTCCAGGGAGACTCTGCTGCCACACATTGATCTCTGCAGCGAAGGAGGGGCCAAGCCACCACCTCCATCCAATTTCACACCCAGTTAATTTTGGAGCTCCTTCTCCATTAGGGCTCCTTCCCATGACCCTGGTGTCACCCTCATTTATGTGTCACTCCCTGGAGCTGGCTTTGGGCAGCCCTCAGTGGCCCTGGGGACATTTCAAGTGGCCCCTTGGGGAGCTTTCTGCAAGTTTTGGCCATTGAGAATCTGCTCCCAGGTGCCCACAGAAGCTGAAATATTTATTTATAGCTTTCCTTGGAAATCAGAAAATGGAAAATAAAATGGAGAGACATTTCCCGGGAAAAGGCAGGGAGCTATTTCCAGGCAGAAGATCTTGCCAGCTGCAGGTACAAGTAAAGCCCTGATAACTGAGCTGCAGGAACGTCGTGGATCAGAGCGGGTGCTGCGGCAGGAACAGGATTTCAGGATTTCGGGATTTCAGAACTTTGGGATTTCGGGATTTCAGGATTTCAGAGGAATTATCTGGGGTCCGCCCCAGCACTGCCTTGCTGCTCCACCTCGATCTGCATCACCTCCTCCATGTGATGGGACACTCAGCACCTGGATTGTCTCCGTGTCTCCTGGGGTTGGGATCCACCCACTTCCCTAGGGAACGCTGTCACACATCCCTGCACCACACCACGTCCCATGGCCAAGCCCAGGGCTACTCCCAGCCCTGATCCACAGAGATTTTTTCCTCCAAAACCCGTGCTGGATCCATACCCATGGAAGATGCAGTGCCTGAGGAGGCTGCAGGGCCTCTCTGGTGGTGGGAGGAGGCTCCTCTTGCTCATTTTCCCCAGTATTTAATTAATATTGCTGGAAGGTTGCCAGGATCCTGTTAGGAGTGGGATAGGACAGATGGGATGGACGGGACAGATGGACACACAGGGACACACAGAACTTGCAGAGGATCTGTTTAGGGAGCAGTGGGAATGGGATGTACCCAGAGCCAGCAGCCCCTGGGGCTTGTGGGCTCAGGGTTTGGAGAAGGCTTGGATGTGGGAATGAACCTCAAGGACTGGATGCCATCCCATGGCCCCTCAGGTTGTTGCTGGGATGTTCATAATGGATTTAGGATGCTCCTCACTAATTCTGGTGTCTGTTTTTTCCAAGCCCATCTGTTATTACTCCAAACAGCTTTCCAAAAAAAAAAAAAAAAGAAAGCAGTGCCTTGGTACTTACCCTGGGGTTAAACCATCCCTGTAATGGCAGCTTGGCAATCCCGAGTTTAAAAAAAAAAAAAAAAAAGCAGTGCCTTGGTACTTACCCTGAGGTTAAACCATCCCTGTAATGGCAGCTTGGCAATCCCGAGTTTCCCAAATATTTGGGTGCATCTTTGTAGCTGTTTGCTTATTTAATAAAACCTCTGTTTTCCTGACAAATACCTCAAAGCGTGGAGTGGGAAGGATCCCAGGGATTTTCACTGAGCAGTCCCTTCCCTGTGTGTATTCCTGAGCCCTGGTGTCCAATTTGGGATTGTGGAAAGAGCTCAGGAGCAGAGGGATGGGGCTTGGATGATCCAAGTGCTCCAGACACCAGCGCTGCTGCTCTGTCCCCTCCCGTTCCTGATTCTCCTCATCCTGCCAGGGTTTGGGATGAGGATGGGGAAAGGAAGAGAAAAATCCACTGAGTTTTTCCTGCTGGACCCTGTTAGCTTTGAATTAAGCTCCCCAAGGAATATCAGTGATTTCTGTTCCCGTCACCCGCTGAGACAGGCAGCAAACAGCTCACCCAGGCAGCATTTAAAAAGCACATTTTTATATGCCTATAAAATAGAAACAGGGGAAAAAAAAAACATTCCTCAGAAAACTTCAGCCTCCTCAGCCAGGTTTTTCTTCCCTTTTTGGCAGAGTGGCAGAGAAATGCAGCTCAGTGTTGCCCCAATTGCTCTGATATTCCCGAAATACTGCAGGAGCTGCAGCTCGGGAATCTCCCAGGGTGCTGAGGATGGATCCTGTCAGCATTCCTTGGTTTTTTTGCAGTGCTGGATATTTTGTTCGTGGAGGGGAGGGGGCTGCACTCCCCCAGAGTGTTGGGAAGCTCCAATATATTAAATCAAGGATCCTTGGGTGCATCCAGGCGACCCCAATCCCACCCCTGCCCTGCTCAGCTGGAGACATCCTTGGCTGTTAATTAACAAAGTCCTCTTGATTAACGGCAGCAGGAGGTTAATGACCACGGGCAGCTCCAGGGGAACGTGCACAAACTGGAATTAACATCCAGGGAAATGGCTGGGTGGGAGCTGCAGCTCCAGGGCTGGTGGTGCTGGGATCTGCAGCCCCTTTTGGGGCAGAAATTGGTGAAATTGGGATGCACCTGGGTTCAGCACCCCAGAGCCAAGGGGTGAGTGGGATGCAGAGCCACCACCATCCCCATCAAACCTGGAATTAGGGCAGTTGTGGGGATTTTAGGGTCAATCAAAGCTTGTGGCAAAGAACAGCAGGTTTTGGAGCTGGAGCACAAACCCCCCACCCCAGAACCCCCATTCCCAGCCTTGGAGCACCAACTCCTGCTGCTTCCCTGGATTTACCCCCCACCCCAAGCCCAAGGCTGGGTCTCATTTCCAGGGAGAAATTACTCTGGAATACAGCAAATCCTGCTCCTGTGGAATGTGTTACCATCCTCAATGACAGCTCTTTTTCACTTGGCTGTCACGGCCCTAAAATAAAGCCGTGTTCTCCCTCTCCCATAAATCAGTGCCTTTATTCTGAATTGGAATGAAATTTAAAATTAAGGGGAAAAAAAAAAAAAGGACTGAAATGTGTTTCCCTCTCCCTTTGCTCAGAGCCAGGTTTAAATTATCCCTGCTGTGTTCAGGCACGTTGTCAGCTGTAAATTTTAGGGGAAATACCCAAGCTGATACATAAACCTGTTGGTTTTGTCAGGGATGGAGATGGCTGCTCTCAGATTTATGGCCCATCTCCCCATTCTGGGGTTTTTATGGAAGTTCTGCTGCTGAGAGGGGGGAATTTCCCTTTATTTTTAAACACAGCTTCATGGGATTTAATTTGGGAAGAAGGGGAACTCCTTCTCTCTGAGCCCCGCAGCATTGTTTGCATCACTGGGGACATTGCCCAGAATTTCCTGAATCCTCCCCAAAGGAGCATCCACTCCCTTTGCCAGGAAGGAATCTGAGACCCTAGCCACACCTGGCATCACCTACGGCATCACAGCGTCCAGGGAGCAAAAAACGCACCCGGAATTGGGGGAAATGCGGGAGTTTTTGGTGCAGACGCCGTTGCCTCGGCAACAGCTGAGAAACCCCTGCAGCCCTGGAGGGAGGAATGCTGCAGCAGGACCGGGAGGCAGGAAAACGCTCCCGGGGATGCGAAATTGCCAAAAATAGATGATTTTTCCTGCAGGAATCCAGGGAGGAGGAGGAAGGGGGGTCACGGTCCCTCCAGCCCCACAGCAGGGCAGGGCAGGGCAGGGCTGTGCCCAGCCAGGGATGCTCAGGCTGAGTCAAGCGGAAAGATTCCCAGCTTTTCAAATCCTCATGGAAAGAAAGGCTGAGTGCTGCCTCCCCCAGGCAGCCGGGCGGGCTGTTAAATGTCAGGAGCTTTTCCCAGGAAAATGATGAGGGAAGGGTGGTTGGCTCCTTTTTCCAGGGGGAATAGGGATTTCATCCTTACGTGCCGGTTCCACGTGGTTAAAATACAGCCCAGCGTTTAATAAATAAATAAAAAATCAGAGTGTGTGCTCTGGGAGGGAGGAAGCCACTCCTGCATCAGTGGGATGTGGGGAAGGGGGATCCCAGAATCCAGAGGTGCAGCCAGATGTGCAGCACGCCCTGACATGGTCATAATATCTATAATATCTTCCAGCTGCTCACTTTCGGTGCAATTCAAATTTAGGGGGGAAAAAAAAAAAAAGAAAAAAAAAGCAATTGTGGCGTAATGAAAGCAGGGGAAAAAAAATAAAATAAAAGGATGTAAATTGGTACTGCTGGAGTCTGGGGATATTCCCAGGCTTTTTTGTGGGAAGGGGTTTGTGGAGGTGCAGATGTGGAGTCCCCCCTCCCTCGTCCCAAGCTGCAGCCCAGGCTCCGAGCGCCGCACGCGATGCCATCCCTTAATTGTTTTATCTGGGCGATTAATTGGCTTTGAGGGGTTAATTACTTCCGAGGGGCGGGAGGGAGCGCTGCCCCTCCGGCGGCCGGGGCCTGTCAGAACAAATCAAGGCCGAGGTGAGGCATCATCCCTGCTTAAAAAAAAAAAATAAAATAGGAATTTCACCAACTCCAGATTAGAAATAAGGGATAAATTGCACCCAGCTATCACTCTGGTGCTGAGGAAGGTCAGGAATAAATCCTGCAGTGAATCTCCCCATGCATCCCATTAAATCTGTCTGTAAGGACACTCTCAAGGTACTGAAGCTCCCAAAAAGGAGCAGCTTTGGTTGTCAACACAGAAATGACATTAATGGGATTTAAATACCTGTTAAGGGGTTTAAATGCAGAAGTGGATTAATGGGATTAAAGGGGAGAGGAGCTGTTCTCCCTCTGCTCCCACAGCCCTGGTCTGGGATGGTGGGGGGTGCTCAGGTGGCCCCACAAACACACGGGGAGGCAGAGCAGCAACAAAACCTCTCCTTTAATTGCTGGGGTACCCTGAGGGTTTGTTCTGATGTGATAACTCCGGGGCTGCCATGAGCAAAGGAGTGTGGGCTCAGCTCCAATCCCGCTGCCATGAATGCCAAAAATACCTCCAGCTGTTTGTCAAGGGAAGAATTAGAGTTAAAGAGTTAAAAAAGAGTTAAAAGGGGTTAAAGAGTTAAAAATGGGGCAGCTGCTCCCTCTGAACCAATCCCCCACCTTCTTCAAAGAAAGAAGAAGCGGGAGCCCCCCATCCCAGCTCTGCTCCACACACACGTTAGAAAAATAGATTTTTATTGAAATTCTCCTTTTTTTCTCCAGGGAGTTTTCTTCTCTCTTGGAATAGAGACCAAGTGTGGTCTCTGGATTTGACCTGTGCCTGCATTTCTGTCAGGATCAAGAATTAAAAGCCAACTGGTGAATCTCTAACTCTAGAAAAGGCTGCGTACAATATATGGCTTTTGCACCTACATCCAAGGGGTTTTGCGGGTTGGGAGCCTTGGGGAGCTCGTTTGGGACAAAGCCAGGATGGGGAGGGTGGCATGGGATGAGGGGACAGCCAGGGACCACATGCAGCTGTGCACAAAGCCAGCCCGGAAATCGGCACATTCCCGGTGTGTGGGATCCTTTGGTTTGGCTTTGGGGCACCCCAAAGCTCAGCCCCAGGGTGTGCTCCCCACGGGGGTTGGGTTGCAGTGTGGACCCTGCTCCTGGCCCCCCAAAAATGCTCCTGAGGGGATGTTCTGGCTCATGGGCTCTGAAACGAGGCCTGGATGAGCTCGTGGGTCCCAGCAGATCCTCTGTCCAGGGAAAATGTCCCCCTCTGGAGCTGCATCCACAGGGAAGAGGAGCTTCCACTGTAGCCACACTGGTGGGGGTCATGGGCCCCCCCAGAGGCTGGAGCAGCAATTTTTCCTGGTGCTGTGGATGGGGAATTCCAGAGAATTCTCAGGGAGCCACAGGATGGCTCAAGGGGCCACAGCCACCAGGTTTGGGGACATTGCACAGCACGGCCTTGCCATCCCATAACCTCAGGCAGGATCCACGGGGGCATCGCCCACACAGTGCCACGCCCGTGGTCCATCCTCCCTTGGGAAGGCTGAAGATTCCATCAAGCACAAGTGGAATCCTTGCAGGGCTGGGATTTTGGGGACACCCACCCCAGGGAGCTCAGCTCCATGTACATCAGGCACGGCCTGAGCAGCTCGATGTCCCCAGGAGAGCCTGAGGGGACACAGACATCCCACTGCACTTCCCAGGAAGGCTGGGGCAGCCAGAACAGGAGCAGGGACCCCGGGGGAGCAGGGAAGGCACCCTTGTCCCCAGGTTGGCCATCAAAAAGCTCAGCGGCGGCTGGGGACCTGTGGTGGCTCATGCAGGGAGTGACCAACAGCTACAGCAGCACATGGAGGGTTAAAAGAGGAGCCACCCACTGGGTGGAATTAAGCAGAATCTGGGAGGACCGAGCCACCCTCGGCCACAATCCCCCCGCTGCGGTCACCATCATCTGGGGTAATAATCCTCAGGGACCCCCGAGAGGTTGCGGAGCTTCAGGGCCGCGTCCACGGTTCGGATGTAGCCGCTGATCACCTTCCTCATCTCGGCCGTGTAGGGGTCGTACTCCAGCTTCCTCAGCCCCGAGCGCTTGAAGTTGCCGTCCTTCTGTCCCTCCACGCACAGCAGCCTGTCCTCGCAGGCCGTGACGCCCAGCAGGGCCACCATCCTCTGCAGCTGCGCGAACAGGTCGCGTTTGAGGTCCTCGAAGTGCACCACCAGCACCTTCTTGCCGTAGCGCAGCCAGTCCAGCGTGTGGGTCGCCCACCACGGAGCGTAGTTGGCCACAAACTCTGGCCACTCTGGGGGGGAAAAAAAGGGGACAGAGGATGCGTGTTGGAATTTCACCCAGTTAGAGGAAACTACGCGGGTTCGTGAAGAAGAAGGTGCAAAAAAAACCATCTAACTCACACACAAAATTCTCCATCTTGGCTAAATGGACCATATACTAAACCATGTATTATATACTAAAACCCCAAAACTTATATTTGGGGTTTTAGTATATAATATATGGTTTAGTATATGGTCAATTTAACTTAGATTTGGGGTTTTAGTATATAATATATGGTTTAGTATATGGTCCATTTAGCCAAGATGGAGAATTGACTCCATCTTGGCTAAATGGATCTCCAGCACATTCCCTGTGTGTGGGATCCTTCGGTTTGGCTTTGGGGCACCCCAAAGCTCAGCCCCAGGGTTTGCTCCCCACGGGGGGTTGGGTTGCAGTGTGGACCCTGCTTCTAGTCTCCCAAACTGCTCCTGGCCCCCCAAAAATGCTCCTGAAGGGATGTTCTGGCTCGTGGGCTCTGAGATGGTATACCATATACTAAAACCCCAAATCTAAGTTTTTCACACACTTCTAGCCAACTACACACCCATAATACTGTCACTATAGGACACAAAAAACCACAACGCAGACTCAGCTGCTCAAGGTAAAAGGGGCAATTTGTTTTCTGACTCCAACATTTATAGATTTCCAAAAGGGACGGTGGATTGGAGGGTGAAAGCACCACCTCTCCAAGGACACTGGACAAGCCAACAGTCCATCAAATTTCTCCTCCTCCATAAAAGAACGCAAAACAATAAGTTGTTTACAGAGAGTGTGTGAGGCAGTTCGTTACAAGAATGTAAACATCAGAAGGCTTAGAAAATCTTAAAAAATCAGGGTGACAGCAATACCAGTGCTATTAATCAATTTTGGAAGCCTCTCCACGGCCTCAGGTCAAATGCAGTGTTCTCTTGCAGGTCTGTGTCTTTCAGCACAGAAAGTTTAAAATTCTCAGCATCCAGGGTTCCAACAGATGTGAGTGGATGTTCCCTGTGTCCTCTCCCATCCCTGCTGGAACATCTCAATTAACCTTCTGGCTAATTGATGCTGCCATTCAGATCAGGTGGTGAGAGGGCTGATGAGACACCGATAATCAGCCGCATCTCCCCTGGCAGTGCTGCATTAAAGCTCCAGGCATCTCCCTCTTCCTCGTGTCCTCCCCGCAAAACCAAGGCCTGATTAACAGCTGGACTGGGTTTAATTCCCTGAGGAATCGTTAACCACAGGATGTGTTCCATTAAACAGATCCAGGACAATTCACCTTGTGTAATCACAGCACATAAAACTTTGCTTTGGAGCCGCTCCAGGGATGCCGTAAAATTAATGCCACGGAACCAAACAGGGGCTTGGCCTCTGCGGGGCTGGGAATGGGCTGGGGGAAATGGGAAAACACCCCCTCAGCACTGGGGGTGAGGCTGCAGAGAGGGCCTGGGGATTTTTTTCCCAAATATGCCCCAAAATTATTTCCTGGGAGAAGAAAATAATTTGGAGAGCTGGGCTGCAGGGAAGGCCAAGAATGGGACCCTCATGCTTCGTGTTCAGGGGCCTCTCCAGCTGGGAATGGGGTCACCAGCCATGCAATGGAAAATCTCCATCTTTCCCAGCACTGGTTAATTAACCTGATGATTAACCCATTGGCTAATTATTCCACACATCCTCTGGAAAGAATTTTGTGATGTATTTGAAGTGCATCCAACCAAGACTGTGGTGGCATGGTCCCCTCTGGATCTCCCTCCCCTCAAAGACATGAGGCCTGGGACAAGCTGGGGAGGGGGTTGGGATTGGGAAGGCTCAGGAGGCTCCCTGTGATCCCTGGACAAGGATTGGGAAGGTTCAGGAGGCTCCCTGTGATCCCTGGACAAGGATTGGGAAGGCTCAGGAGGCTCCCTGTGGTGCTGGGATAACAATCCTGGCTCTATCCACAGATGGATGGGGGAAAAAAAATCAACCAAGAGGCTCCTGTGCCACACAGTGGGGACAGTGCCAGCCCAGGGACACAAGGCTGAGGAAGTGGGGGACACCACACCCACTGGTTTTTTGGGATGGGGAGAGCAGGGCTGGGCTGTGCCCAGCACTGTGAGCACATGGAGATAACGAAATCCAGGCACATCCCAGCCACAGCAGCCAAAGCTCCCCTTAAATAAACTCGGAATTAAGGGTAGCAGATGTTCAATCAAGCTAAACATTTTAACTCTTTCCAATGAAGTCAATCCCACAACAGCAATTTGGAAATTGCTGTAATTAAGCAGCCTGTGGCACACGCCTGCGCGTGGGAAAGGTGGTGGCTGGGGAGCAGCTGGACACATGGAAACAACACCTGGATACCGCAGGGATGGGCTGGGGACTGCCACCACTCCCTGTGGTCACACTGGGGACAGGACATGCCCATCCTTGCCTGGGCCTGCTGTCCTGTTCCAACCCTTCCCATCTTGTCCCACCCAACATGGGAACCCATGGCCATCCATGGTCACACCAAGAGATGGCCCCAAAGTGGTGGCACACTGGGACCCAGGACATTCCTCTGGCTGCCCTGGGTGATTCAAGACCCTGGCAAGCAGCTCAGAGACCTTGGCACGGAGTCAAAAACACCTGTGCCTTCGGTTTTAGTTCATGGAAAAAATTACCAACTTTGTTTGAAGACTTACAAGCCACAAGAGTTTGAGTAGAATGATAGTTAATTCATCATAGGGTGGAAAAGTAGAATTTTGGGGTTTTAGAATAGGGGTTCAGGAGGCAAGGTGGAGGAATCTGGGTGTGTCCTGTCCTTCTTCTCCTTGTCCTCCATCTTCTGCTGGTATGGTGGCACTTTTGGATTGGTTTAGAGTAGAGACAGACTTTCTAACATAGGTGATAGGTATTGGAAAATTATTATAAATAAAGTAGTTCTTAGTATAAAAAATTAACACCACCCCAAGGGCAGGCGCTGTGCCACAACCCGACCTGCAGGACAGATCTCAGCAGGTCAGGGAAAGAATGTAATAGATAAGAAAAAATAAAAAACCTTGAAAAGCAGAAACAACGAATCTCGACTTCTTCTTCAGTCGCGGGAAAAAAGAGACTTTTCTAACACCTCGGGGTCATCTCAACCACAGAAACCCGAGAACGGCACAGCCCAAAATTTCCCCCCATGGACACCCAACTCCAGCTCTGCTGGGCTGTCCCAACCAATTCCCAGCTCTCCCAGAGGATTCCCTGCCCTACCTTTGCCCTTCCAGTGGGCGTGGGCGGCGAAGCCGATGTGTCCCCCGTACTTGCGGTTGAACTCGGCCATCAGCGCCTTGTAGGGGTTGCGGATGAGCAGGATGGCCGAGTCGAAGGACTCGATCTCCTTCTGCCCACTCTCGTGGGTCTTGATGCAAATGGTCCTCCCACTCCTCCAGTGGTCCCGCTCGCCCTTGAATCCTGCCGGGACAGAGTTGGGATTAGTGGGAGTAATGGGGAGCTGGAAAGGGGCTCAGCCTGGGGAAAAGGAAGCTCGGGAGGACCTTGTGGCTCTGCACAGCTTCCTGATAGGAGGGGACAGCCAGGGGGAGTCGGGCTCTGCTCCCAGGGAAAACCAGACAGGATTGAAGGAATTGGCCTCAAGCTGTGCTGGGGAGGTTTAGATGGGATATAAGGGAAAACGTCTCCACACAAAAGGTGATCAATCCCTGGCACAGCTGCCCAGGGCAGTGATGGAGTTCCCATCCCTGGAGGGATTTAAAAGCCTTGTGGATGTGGCACTTGGCTACGTGGTGGCCTTGGTAGTGCTGGGGGAAGAGTAGGATTCAGTCTCAGAGGGCTTTTCAACCCAAAGGATCCCACGGTTCCATGAAAGGGAGCATCACAAGGATATCAGGTTGCAAAATCTAGTTGGATGATGAAAGCAGCTGGGCCGTGAAGGAGGATTTGCATCCCTCTCCCAGATGGAAATCATTTATTTTCCCATGTTATGAGTCTCATAAAATTGATGAGTGGGTGGCTCACAGGCACAGGGGCCCCTCAGGGTGACATCTCCCTGGCCACACTCAGCTCTTGTGCCTGTTCTTAGGGGTCAAGGGCAGATTTAATGGCTAAAACCTCCCTGAGCACAGCTGAAACTCTCCCAGTAATAAATAAATAAAGGGAAATCCTTGTGCCTGTGGGGCAGCGGATCAGCCCAAGGTGGGGGTGATGCCATGGGGGGTCCAGAGAGGGGACCCTGCACTGAGCATGGGGCTGAGCCAGCATCAACCCCAGCCCCTGGAATGCACCTGGAGTGCAGGATAAGCTGGAAGGAGCTGTATTCCATCAATTAGAGAGGTGTAATTGGCTCTCAGCAGTGGATAAATCTGCTGGTTGCCTGGATACCTCCTGGCCCCTGCGACAGGGAACGAACACGGAGCCCACGCTCGTGAGGCTCAGCAAAACCCAGCCAAGGCTTTTCCCACTGCTGCTCCCTTCCCTGGGATGCTGCTGCACCCTGGGGGCTGGGGCAGTGCTCCCTCACTGAGCATCTCCCTCCTGCAAGGCTGGATTTGGCAGGAATTGGGAAGGAATTGCTGCCTGTGGTGTCTGGAAAATGGGGATTTAGGGAATAGCCTGGGTACAGACCCCACCAACCACATGGCACAGATACAGATCCCAGCAGCTGAGGAGCAATGGAGAATTTCCTCTCAAAGCCACGAAAAGTGAAGGAATAACAGGAGAACCCTTCAAGGTCTCTAGATAAAATTGTTGTGAGTGGTTCTAAACTCGGGGAGCTGGGAATGGGGTGGGTTATTAGAACCAGAATCCCAAAATGCTTTGGGTTGGAGGGGATCTTACAGCTCATCTCATTCCAACACTCCTGGAAAAAGACACCTTCCACTATCCCAGATTGCTCCAAGCCCTGTCCAGCCTGGCCTTGGACACTCCCAGGGACAGAGCAGCCACAGCTTCTCTGGGCAACTCCTGCCAGGACCTCCCCCCCCTCCCAGGGAGGAATTCCCTCACCAGGACCCTCCATCCCAAACACCACGGAGCAGCAGCGCTCACACCCAGCACTGCTCCGCCCTTCCTGCAGCCCCTGGGACATCACCAGGACTGTCCCCAGAGGGGGTGGGACCCCAGCAGCGCCCTCCCCTCACCTTTGTTGTAGAGGGAGCCATCAAAGTAGTAGCTGCCGGTGTAGAAGCCGGTGGCCAACTCGATCAGGTGCCGGGCCCAGGTGTTCCCGGCTCCAGGAAAGCTGGCCAGGGCCACCAACTGCTTGGCACGGCTGGGCAGGAACCTCCTGTCCATGCAGCGGTTGTCTGCAGGGAGACACATCAGGAATGTGTCATGGAAACCTGCTTGTCCCACTAGGATGTCTGAGGAAATGCTGCCTCTCCCAGGAAAATGCTGGGGAAGGGCGAGGAGGTGGCTGGGCAGGGAAAGGTGCCCTGCCTAAGGCTTAGAGGGACATCCCAAAGGGTCCTGGATGCCTCAAAGGGTCCTAAACACCCAAAAAGTCCTAAGAGGATTTTTCCCAAGAGTTCTCTGTCATTCCCAGCTGTGTGTTAGGGAAGAGTGACTAACAGGGATTCCTGTGCCAAGAAACATTCCTGCTTTTTTGATGAATCAACGAGCAACGTTTCCAGCACAGCCCCAAACACCAAAGGATCATGACAAGTCTGACCCAAAACCACCTGAATCTGGGTCCTCACTTGCTCCCTTCAGTCCTTTCCTCTCCCAGGAACAGTTTTCCTTTCTGCCAGCGCTTCCCTGGCTCCCTGCTCTCTCAGGAATGTTCTGCCTGGTCACAGCCGTTTTCCACCCCACATTTTTCCCTGGAGCTTGTCCCCTCTGGATAGTAGACTCCCATGGGATCATGGAGAGGTGGGAGAAGCCCTGGGAAGGAGGAATCCTGCCAGAGGCAGAATCTGCAGCTGAGCCAGGCAGCAACCACATCTCACCAGGGGAGCGCTGATTTCCCAGGGGAATTAAAAACCTCTCGTTTTTAACGGGATCCTCACACTCCCAGCTGGCATTTTTTTGGGGGAAATGTGGGGAAAAGCTCACCCTGCACTTGTGTCTGGTAGACCAGCAGGAACTCGGCAGAGCCGCAGCTCTCGAACTCCTCGGCGGCGCATTTGTGCGCGCAGAGCTGCTCGTCCTCGCGCTCGTGCAGCGGGAACAGCGTGCTGGGAAAGCCGCAGCGGCACGTGGTGCCCGCCAGCGCTGCCAGCGGGAATTCCTGCAGGGATGGCCAGAGGGAACGGCGCTGGCACCACCCCCCAGCCGTGGCAGAGCCTTCGCCCCCGGCGCCCGGCCACGCCGGGCAGCGCGGGGTGGTTTGTAACATCCTTCCAGAGCATTCCAGCATCATTCCGGAACATTCCAGCATCCTTCCAATCCCAGCATCATTTCAGATCTTTGCCAGCATCCTTCCAAAGCATTCCAGCATCATTCCAGACAGTTTCCAACATCCTTCCAATCCCAGCATCATTCTAGACCATTCCAGCATCATTCCAGACCATTTCCAGCATCCTTCCAATTACAGCACCATTCCAGACCATTTCCAGAATCTTTCCAATCCCAGCATCATTCCAGACCATTTCCAGCATCATTCCAGAACATTCCAGCATCATCCCAGAACATTTCCAGCATCCTTCCAGTTCCAGCACAATTCTCAACATCCTTCTGATCCCAGCATAATTCTAGAACATTCCAGCATCATTCCAGAACATTTCCAGCATCCTTCTGATTCCAGCACCATTCCAGACCACCCCTACATCCTTCCAAGTCCAGCATCTTTACCCCTTATTTCCAGCATCCTTCCAGCCCATTTCCAGCATTCTTCCAGCCCATTCCATCCTTCTGATTCCAGCATCTTTCCAGACAATTCCAGTGTTGTTCTAGCCCATTCTATCCCATTCCACCATCCCTCCAGCCCTTTCCAGCATCCTTCCAATTCCAGCATCTTCTGCCTTATTTCCAGCATCCTTCAAATTTATATCAAGCATAATTCCAGACCATTCCCAGCATCCTTACAGCCCACCCCAGCATCCATCCTCCATCAGTTCCCACTGCCAACCTTTCCCCTCCCTGCTCGGAGGCACCGTGCTCCAGGATGAGACCCCTGGACGAGAGCAGGACCCCATGGTGTCTCCTTTTAATGTCCCTTCCAACCTAAACTCTAATTCTTGGATGCTCCTTCCCAAACTTTCCCAGGGCTGCTGCTGGCTCCACTCCCTCCTGTGGCAGGGACACAAATCCATTTATCCTGTTTTTGGAAACATGAAAATGATGTCCCTAAACTGGGTTCAGATCTGCCGGTGTGACTCTGATGATGATGGAAACAAAGATGAAGAAGAGAAGTTTATCCCAGTACCTTTTCTGTGCAGAAATCCACACATTTATCCACGGACATGTTGAGCATGAGCTGGCTGGCAGGCAGGGCGATGGAGACGTTTTCCGGCCGACGGAAGCAGCCCCGGAATATCGCGCTTCCATCTGGGGGAGAAGAGAGAGAGAGAGAGAGAGAGAGAGAGTGTGAGAGAGGCCCCAGTGACACTCCAAAAATGACACTGCTGCCACTCCGTGTGACACGGCATTCCCGACTGCTCCAGTGGCTCCTGGCCCCTCCAGCAGTGCAGCCACATGGATGACGCTCATCTGGCTGCTGACGAAGCAAAATCAGAGCAAAACCCCGGCAGCAAAGTCAGGGATATTTTATTTTCCTGGCTGTTTTTATCAGCTCCGTGATCCCAGGGATGGAGCAGGGGCAGAGCCAGGGAGGAGAGCAGGGCCAGTTTTGGTGAGGTCTGGAATCAAATCCTTGGTACCCTCAGCCCCTCGTGCATTCCTGGTTGTTGCCATCCCCTTTCCCATTCCTTGGATATGAGGAAAGGTGAGCAGGGAATGTGGGTAATTATAGAGCTCCCTAATTGGGAGCTAATGAGGCAGCACCCTCAGCTCTGCCTGGAATTCCCACACATCCTTCATCCTGCAGCACACACAGGAGACACTGATGGTCCTGTTTGGCCATGGGGAAAGAAATCTCCACCCAAAATTCCCTGAAGGAGGGAGTCCAGCAGGAGTCCTTGGGGCTCCTCATTCCACCCAACCCCAGCCACCAGCATTCCCCACAAGGAGATTCCTGATATTTAGGAACAAAACTGCCCCGGACTCAAGCACCACTCTCCAAGAACCTCCATGGAGCCATGACCCAGCTCGGGAATGCCAGGATCACCCCTCCAGCACCAAGAGAAATCCCCCCATCCCAGGGCTGAGCTGGGATCAGCCTCCAACTTACACCTGCGGGCGGATTCCTGGGCCAGCTCCAGGCGGTAGATGGAGAGCCGGTTGATCCCGCCGCAGGTGTTGCTCCGCTCTCCCTTGCATTCCATGTTGCACTCGGACTCGCTGGCGTTGGACGCCTGGATCTTGTGCCCGCAGTAGCACTCGGCCCCGAATTCCAGCCCCGCGTACAGGTACCCCCTGCCCAGGGGGAAACGGGATCTCAGCACATCCCCCGGCTCCAGGGGGTTTGGAAAGGAACATTCTTTCTTACGGCCAGTGCTGGGATCAGCAGTGCATCCCAGGGAATTTTTTTTTGGGTTAATAATCCTTGTAGGGCACTTCCAACTGAAAATATCCCATCCATTCCATTCCATTCCATTCCATTCCATTCCATTCCATTCCGTGGAGCATTCCTGCTTATGGCCAGTGCTGGGATCAGCAGTGCATCCCAGGGATTCGTTTTTGGGCTAATGCCCCTTGCAGGGCACTTCCAACTGAAAATATCAGTTTGGAAGGAGCATTCCTGCTTATGGCCAGTGCTGGGATCAGCAGTGCATGCCAGGGATTCATTTTTGGGCTAATACCCCTTGTAGGACACTTCCAACTGAAAATATCAGACCCTATCCTATCCTATCCTATCCTTTCCATTATTCCATCCCATTCTGCAATTCTTTCCTATCCTATCCTATCCTATCCTATCCTATCCTATCCTATCCTATCCTATCCTATCCTATCCTATCCTATCCTATCCTATCCTATCCTATCCTATCCTATCCTATCCTATCCTATCCTATCCTATCCTATCCTATCCTATCCTATCCTATCCTATCCTATCCTTACTCTTTTCTAGTCTGTTCTATCCTATTACTCCACTCCATTCCATTCCATCCTATCCTATCTCATTCTACCTCCTATCCTACCCTATTTTCCTATCACATCCTAATCCATCATATAATATCATATAATTTAATTCCATTTCATCCTATCCTATCCTATCCTATCCTATCCTATCCTATCCTATCGGAAAGGATTGATGGAGCCAGTGCACAGGGATTCGTGGAGATGTGGGAAAGGATTGATGGAGATGGTGTGCAGGAATTGAGAGGGATGGTGTGCAGGGATTCATGGAGATGGTGGGAAAGGATTGATGGAGATGGTGGGAAAGGATTGATGGAGATGGCGTGCAGGGATTGATGGAGCCGGTGTGCAGGGATTGATGGAGATGGTGGGAAAGGATTGATGGAGATGGTGGGAAAGGATTGATGGAGCCGGTGTGCAGGGATTGACAGAGTGTGTTGGGATCCATGGAGCCCCTGTCACCGTCCCTACCGCTCGGCGCAGTTGTCCTGGCAGCGGAACACCGTCATCTTCTTGTAGTCGAAGAAGGACATCCCGCGCAGGGTCCTCTGCCGGGTGTTGTCCTCGTAGCAGCCGATGTACCGGGCTGGGGACAGACAGGGGACAGGGTCACAACCCTCTGATCCCACCCCTCTTGGTTTTTCCTTAAATAGGGATGTGCAGCAGCATTCGCTGTTTGTTTTGGAAACTCTGGGTCCAAACCAGGCAGGGACACCGTCCGCTGTCCCAGGTTGTTCCAAGCTCCATCCAGCCTGGCCTTGGACGCTTCCAGCCACAGTTTCTCTGGGCACCCTGTGCCAGAGCCTCCCCCTCCTCACAGGAAGGAATTTCTTTCACTGTGACACTCCAGTTCCAAGCCACACTCTGGGATAACACTTCTCACCTCCTCCCTGCTTTCCACGCCTCCTTGGGGTCCCTGAGCCAGCTCACCCCACCCATGGTGTGCCCTCATTCCCAATTATCCCAGCACAGCACAGACCCCACCAGTGCTGGAGCCACCTTCCCAAGACAGCCTGGAGGCCAAAGAGGAGGAGGATGGAGAGAAATGTGCCAGATAACTCGAACCACCAGAGCCATAACTCCCAGTTACTCCACACAGCATTCCCACAGGAATGAGCAGGTCCTGGCAGGTCAGAGGATTCCAGCAGGTGTGGGATGGCTCCAGACACTTGCACGGAGCTGGTGACTGATGTGCATTACCTTCAATCCAGTGCTCCTGACATATGCATGCTGCCACTTATTGGGAAGCCAGCTGGAATAATTAGGGACAGACGAGGACACAAGAGAAGGGGGAGGGTGGGACTGGCAGTTTGTAGGGAGAGGTGGACCTCTCCAGGAGGAATTTTGGAGCCTGTTGGAAACATGGCTGTGAGCAAACACACACATCCACCCAGTGATTGTCATTAAATTCCCCAAGCATCCCATTTTTCCCAGAGCTGGGGATGCAGGGATGGCTCCAGCTGTCTGCCTGGGCTGGCTGGTCCCTGCATCCTCATGGAATTGCTTGGTTGTGTATCCCAGGTGGGAATAGTTGGATTTGTCCAGGAAGGCACCAGAGATGGATGGGGCTGAGGGTTGGGGTCTGTTCCTGCTTCCCTTGGCTTCACTGCCTAAAATCCTCCCTGGCTGGAGGCAGGAGATGCCCTTTCCCACTGGGATTTGCATTCCCGTGGGGATGAGGCCGTTCCCTGGCAGACAGGGCTGTTCTCCACCCACAACTTCATCTGACACTGCCGGGAGAGGGAGGAGGAGGAAGAGGAGGAAGAGGCAGCTGCACATCACTCTCTAAACCATTTTTGGAGCAGTATTCCCTCTGGAAGGATTTCACGTGGCAGAGCCTCCGCAGCCACCTCGTTAAGCTGTCCCCACTTAATTACCAATACCATTAAATCCACCTGTTCCTGACAGATACCCCAGGGCTCCAGAGGAGCAGGGAAGCGAGGGGGAGGAGCTCTGCCAGCCACACCAGGAACACCAGGCACGTGGGATTTCTCAAAATGCTGAATTTCTCCACACCATCCCACTCAGGAGCTGCCAAGATGCTCCACGGGGAAAATTATATTCCCAGAGCACCTGGGAGCAGATAAACCCAGGAATCCCAAGCCCAGCATCCCATCCCTGCTGGCAGTGCTGGGTGAGGTTAATCTTGGAGCACTCGGGACATATGGCCCGGGACACGGACACTGCTTGGGGTCTTTATAGACACAGACAGCCTGGGCTCAGGGACCATCTGCTGAGGCTGCACTGAAGTCAATTTGCATTAATGGATTTGCATTAAATTGCAAAACTCCCCAGAGACCCCTGGGAGCGGGGTCACAATGGGGGAACCCCTTCAGCTCCTTTTAGCAGGACAAAATCCCGTGAGCACTACTTTTCCTTTGGCTTCCATGCCTGGACCGTGCATCATTCCTGGAATGAGCACAACCACATTCTACTGGAGGAGGAGGAGCCCTCCTGAGTGCAGCCCAGGTTGGGGGATCAAGCCTGGACCCCTGGGAAAGCCCCAGTTTGCCGTGGGTTTGGGGGTTCCTGCTGGAGTCCAGCCACCCAAATCCCACAGAATGTGCAGCTCTGGCTGCCTTCGGGATAAATACATACAATTTTGTAAATCAATAGGAATTATTCCATTTTCTTATCCTTGATCATTAATAACAGACCCACTTGAGAAGACCCCAGCCAGGCAGGGATCTCCTGGCCCCAGAGGCCACAGCCCAGCCCTGTCTGCACTTCCATGAGAATCGCAGCCAGCCCCTACCTCGACACAACACCCACACAAACCTGGATTTTGGATTGATTCAGGCCAACAGAATGAAAGCTGAATTTGGCCCCTGGCAGAGCCAAAGGGTGGGAGGAAGATGGGGCACAGCATCCCCCCAGCTGCCACCCCCAAAATCACCTGTAACAGGAAGGGGGGACTCAGAGCTCGGTGATGCACCAGGAGAAAGAGTGAATATGGAAAAGTAAAAGCACATTATTGGCACTTGGGGAGGGAGGAGAGGAAAGAGGGAAGAAGGAGGGAGAAGATCCTTCTGGAAATATTCTCTGGACTGATGCTCTCCAGAGGGGGTTGCTGCTCCCCAGAGCATTCCTGTGGGATGTGGAAGAAAACCTCCGTGCCCCAGCAGCGCGTGCACGTGGTTTATAAATAAATAAACAAATAAATATACATTTCCTGGAGCGGGGGGGGGTGGTCCTGGCAGGGATACACAACCCAAAACTAGCTCAGACACCACTGCCCCAGCTCGTGATGCCCCCTTGGGAGAGACAAAAAGCAGAAACCCCCTTTGGCGCACATCCCCAGCCCTCACCTCTGTCCTCCTCCTTCTCGCGGCCGCTCCTGCCCCTGAGCGCCCGGCTCCGGGGTCCGCCGTTCTCCCGGGATTTCCCCCTGTCCGACGGCTCCTTGGAGGTGCTTTTGAACCAGGGGCCGTGTCGTCGGCCCCTCGCCGGCATCGTCGCTGCCGCCTTGAAGCCGCGGCTGAGCTGCATCACCCCCAGGTAGGGCAGCCCCGGCCCCTCGGCGGCCGCGGGGCTCCGCGGGCTCCCCGGCACCCTGGGCTCCCCGGAGAAGCCGGAATGCAGGAAAACCAAGCTGCCTGCCGCTAGGTACAGAGCCAGCAGAGTGAAGAAACGCACGGGTTTGCGCCGAAAATACCGCTGGAGTTTTAGCAAGAGCTTGGCCATAGCGTCTTCATGCCTTCCCCGGCAGCCGGCGCCGCGGGGAAGCTGCTCTGCGGCTCCAGGGATGCTCCGAGGAGGGGATTATCCAGGCGAGGTGAATCCCGGCGAGCAAATGGGGTGAGAGCTGCAGGGCGAGGTCGTGCAAAGCTGTTACTCGACCCTAAAAAGTCTTGGAGTGCAGGGGAAGGTGGATTTGGAGTCCCCGCCTCGTGGCCGGGGTGTTCCAGCGCTGGCTGTCACCTCCAGCCCCGGTTTATTCTCCTGCCGGCAAAGTCCCCCGGCTGTGCCCCGGGGACTGCGCTGATGGAGGGATCATGTTAAGGAAATCGAGGTTTGAAGGTGATTTGAAAGCCGATCAGCTGCCGCAGCTCCTCGCTCCCGGCGGCACCGGCCCCGTCAGGCATCGCTGGGATGGGAACGGCACCGCTGCCCTTTCAGACAAAGAATGGAAGGTGCCTGGAGGCACCTGGAGCCTGGAATGCTGCCTGGGACGCTTTGTGTAAGGAAACCCCTTTCAGCTCACTCCCAGAGCAAGAAATCTCCACCTGCAAGTGAAAGGAGAGGCACACTCAGGAAAGCGACCCAGGACACGGGAGGATGGTGGCCCTGCCCCTCCAGGGGGTGAGGAAGGCCACCCGCGGTCTTCATCGCCTTCCAGCCCTGGGGAGGGGCAGCTCCACCTCTCCCAGGTGGGTTACTGGGTGCAGTGGGAGCGATGCTGGTGGGGTGAGCCCAAATCCCTGAGCCTGCACATCTCTGCCTCATCGTGCGGGAGAGGTGTTCCAGGATGCCTCTGGGATATGGAAAATTTCCAGTTTCATCCAGTTTCATCCCCAGGAGGATGAGCTGTGCACACACACTCTGCATGGACATACTGCACACCGAGATCCAAACATCTCTGCAGCAGCAGATCCCAGCTGAAATCCATGTATAGGCAGTGGGGTGCTGCTATTCCAGCATCCCACAGGATCAGCCTGCACACCGAGATCCAAACATCTCTGCAGCAGCAGATCCCAACTGAAATCCATGTGGGGTGCTGCTATTCCAGCATCCCGCAGGATCAGGAGCACGACATCCCTGGGTGTCCCTCCAGTCCCTCGTGTCCCCAGGGACCAGAGATTGCCATGACATCCTCTACATCCAGCAGGAGCATCCCCTTTCCCACCGCATGGTGCTGTCCCAGGAGCACCAGGACCATCATCAGGAGCACGACATCCCTGGGTGTCCCTCCAGTCCCTCGTGTCCCCAGGGACCAGAGATTGCCATGACATCCTCTACATCCAGCAGGAGCATCCCCTTTCCCACCAGCATGATGCTGTCCCAGGAGCACCAGGACCTGGTGGCTCTTGGCACAGGAAGGGCAGAGATGGGACAATTCCCTCCAGCCCCACCAGGCTGGACTTCCTGAGAAATCCAGCTGGATTTCTCTCCTTCCAACCCCCCACCTATGGAAGATTTGCTCCAGCCCTTCCTGGGAAAATGCCACGTGGGAAATGCCCCTGCTGACACATCCGAGTGCCCGGGGTGTGCTGCCTGTCACGGTCTCGTCTTATTTTAGGAAAGGAGACGGAAATAAATGGAAAGACAAAGTGCCATTATTTTAATGGCCTCTATGTTCCTGCCATCTGTCTTCAGTTGATTAAATAAAAAATATTGGTGGAACATATGGCATGAATTATACATCAATATTTTAATTTGGTTTCCCAGAGTGGTTATTCAGATACCTCCGGCTCTGCCGCGGGAGTTTTGTGGAGCTCGGGGCTGGAGAGGCTGGGGCAGAGCAGTGGAGGGGCACAACCCCAAACCAGCCCTCCCCAACACAGCTGGAGTAAAGGCTGAGTAACCTCGGAGTAGCAGCGGTTTGGGTTTTTTATGCAGGATGTGGCACCTCGGCATGGCCAGGGAGGGGGGGCCGTGCTGGGAGAGCAGCCCCAGCCCGGTGGTCCCGGGGGTGTTTGGCTGCTGTCCTGCACTCCCTGACCAGGATTTTCTGGCTTTCCCTTATCCAGAACAAATCCACCTTCCCCGGGTTGGGGTGGGAGCTGGATACGGGGTGGTTTGGGGAGCGAATGGAGAGTCCCCAAGGCTGTCCCTGCTCCCCAGTGTCCCCAGTGTCACCCCACCCTCCTCCCCTCCCCGGCTGGCCGCTGCCAGGCTCTGGCACAGCATATAAAGAAGGGGCTTAAATTACTCTCATTAAGCCATCTGGAGCTCATCCTTCTCCATCATGAACTGCGGAGTCACAGGTCAATTACTGCGCATTTGCATATATTCCATTAATGCTTCTGCTAATTGTCTGGAGCAGATAATGGGCTCGGCTCCGGGCTCCCGGGGGCGGCAGGGAGGGCCGGCACCAGTGCTCCCAGTACGGACACCAGTGCTCCCAGTATCAGCTGGGGGTACCGGGAGCTGAAGGATGCAGGAACCATCCGAGAACGCCATTCCCTGCATCCCACCAGCGCTCCCTGGGTTTGTAAGGACGGATCCACCCCCGTGCTGGGGTGAAGGAGCGGCCACCCCTGGTCGCCATCGTGTCCCCAGGGGTCTCGTCCTGTCCCCGACCCCGCTGCCTGAATCCCGCTGCGCTCGGCGCCGGTGCCAGCCCAGCCCGCGGCGTGGCCGGGGGACACTGGTGACACAATTTGTCATCCGAACTAATGAAGCAAACGGGGACAGTCCCCAGCCAGCGCAATGCAGCGGCCTCAGCCTGGCCTCCCGGCGGCTGCTTGGATGGAAAACTGCTGGGACAGCAGGGAACGGAGGGAATTATCCGCCGGGAAATTGTCTATGACCCGCTGTGATCCAGCCCCCTGCTCGCATCCCAGGGGAGGGACCCAGCCCTGGGAGCGGCAGCGTTGGAAGAATCCCCCCGGCTGGCAGTGCCAGGGTTGGGGAATCCCTCCCTGCCCCCCCAGAGCCTTCAGCACCCGGAGCCAAAGCTCAGCAGAGCCCAGTGGGGGCTTTTGCCTCGTTGTGGGTCCGGCCGGGATTGGGGAATGGTTCCCTGCCTGCATCCATCACCACGCTCCTGGCAGGAGCCAAAATCCTCATCGCATCAACGGGACACACTGCTCTGCCTCAGTATAATCCCAGCAGGAGCCGAAATCCTCATCCCAGCCCCGGGATACCTCCTGAGCATCACTGCACACCCAACCCACCTCCCTGAGCCGCGTCAGCTGTCCCATGGCAAAGAAACCCTCGATAATTTGCCAGCTTTACCCAGGGTTATCCATCCCTCAGCGCGTGGAGAGGTGGGAGCAGGTCCGGGATGAATGAAGGGCCCATCAGTTATGGATTTGAGGCTTGTCTTCAAATTGCTCTGCAATTATTGAGCCCCGAGGTTCACTTGTCTTCAGGCAGCACCTCCCATCTGAGCAGGGCCAAACACCCTCACGTGGCTCCCCCCAGCCCGGGAGAACAATGGGCCCATTAAAACCAGCAAATTAACCACCACCAGATTTCCATGAGGAGGAGCAGGCCAGGGGAATATCCAATTTCACCCCCTCATTAACATTTCTTATCACAGGGATGGGGAAAGAATAGGGCTGGCAAACAGAGGGGTGGTGACATCAGTGGGGTGATCCCTCGGGAGGGCTGTGACGCAGGGACTGACCTCGGTCCCATGCCACAGGACGCGGGGACAGCAGGTGCTGCACCCCTCTGGGCACCCTGGGAATGCTGGAATGCTTCTGCCAAGCCTGGAAATGCAGTGAAGGACTCAGGGGATGGGGTAAAAGACCCCAATCCGTGGGGTGCGGGACTTATGGGACACAGGACCCAGGGCATGGAGGTTCCCTGGTCCTGCTGTCACCAAAAGCCACCCACTTGGGTGCAGGGACCACCAGAAAGCCTCGTGTGCCTCTATCCCAGAGCAGTTCCTGCAGCTCCACATCCTCCCCAGTACCAAACAGGGGCACCAGCACAACCCCCAGTGACACCAGCACAACCCCCACTGACACTGGGCACCCTGTGTCACTGGGCATCCCTCAAATCCTCCAGCCTCCATCCCTAGGAGTGTCCTACAAGATATCCTGCAAGCCTGCAAGCCCAGGCAGAGGTTGGGCAGCCCAAGATTCCAGGTGGAGTTGCCCATCCTCTTTTCCAGCCCTGTGGAAATTGATTTTCACCCTTTTCCACTCATTAAAGAAGCAGCAAATGAGATTCACGGGGCTGAATTTAAGCCCCGTTATGGCTGGGAATGAAACTGAGATAAGCCAGGGCTATTCCATCCCAGACCTGGAGCATCCAGAACCTTCCCGTGCCTCTCCCAGGGGCCAGCCGTGCACAGGGAGCTGTCAGTCGCCCTCAAATCAAATCCAAGTTTATTTATTCAGCTTCTCTTTGCCTTCGTTTTGCTGAGAAATGGATTTGTGCCTCCTCTCCGCTGGGGAAGCCTTAAAAGCAGCTGACTCAGCAGCTTCCAGACTCATCCCAGGAAGCTGCACCGGGTTCGGATCCTCATCCTTAAGGGTGAGACACTTCCCAGGCCTGGGCTTCCCTGTGGAGCCCCTAAATCCCCTCCACAGGCCAAACCAGCCAGGGATGCAAAGGAAAAACCTCTCCTTAGGGATTTATTGGCTCAATTTGAAGATCCAGGATTTGCCCATCTGCTGGTGGATTTCTGTGGGGGATTTCCAAGCGTTTTGTGGGGTTTGCAAATCCTCCTCCTTGCTGGGAATCCATGGAGGAGTTTGGACTGGAATTAGGGAGCTGGTTTTGCTTATGGACAAAAACTGGCTTTGAAATATTCTGGGAATTTATCAATGGCCTCAGCACTTTCCCAGGGCATGAGGCACCGGGATCCAGAAGGATCTGGGATCCATTCAGGGCTGCCCCAGACTAATTGATTAAGGTCTCCAAATGCTCCTCTGAAATGAGGTCGTGCTAATTGCACAACCTCCTCTTAGTGCTCCCTGTGCTCTCCAGAGGACAGAGCCCACAGGGCACCAACCCCGTTTCTGCCAGGGCTGAGCTATAAATAAATCCAGGAACATCAGGATGGATCCTGCCCTGGCTTATTCCAATCACTGGACAGAGCTACACGAGCCCAGGGCCTGCAGCCTGGCCCAGAAAGGCAATTTTGTTTAATCAAGTTATTTAAGGAAGTTTAACCCCATTTTTAATTATGACATTGAGCTGCCTGGCATTACAGATTCCCACTGATGTTCCAGACCTCGACTTAATAGATGCTGATTCCTGCCCAAGGAATGCTGATTCCCACCCTGAGGATGCTGATTCCTGCCCAAGGGATGCTGATTCCCATCCTGAGGATGCTGATTTCTCCCCAAGGGATGTTGATTCCCACCCTGAGGGTGCTGATTTCTCCCCAAGGGATGCTGATCCCCCCGAGGATGCTGATTCCTGCCCAAACTCCACAGCCACGGGCTGGCACAGAGTGGGATCACCATGATGGTGATGGGAATTTGCTGTAGGACAGATGAGAGACTCCCAAACCCAATCCCAGCTGGGATGAGCAGCCTGCTCCAGCCCCCAGAAGCAAAGAAATGTTGTTGCCTCCAGACCTCTAACTCCCAGGTAATCCCATCTCCATGGCTCTGCTCCGTTCCCCGGGTATTCTCCTCCACAATGGCCCAAGTGGAGCTGAAAATGGGGAGTTTTTACTTCACGTTCTGCTCCTCCACCCACAATTCCATCAAAGCCCGTTCCAGGTTCTCGGAGGCTGAATTCCCCTCACAAGTGTGAAAAGCAGCTCATAAAGAAAAATGGTTTAAGTCATGAATCATTTAAAAAGCACCCGGCGCTGCCGAAGGCAGGGAAGGAAATAGGGGAGGAAATCGCCGTGGATTGCAGAGAATGGGGCAGGGAGAGGGTCCAGGGAATTGTGGGGTGATGGAAATGAGGTGGCACAGCGGGGATCCAGCTGTGGGGCTCGGAGCTCCCCTCCCAGCATCGTTAGCATTTTCATTAATTAATTAATCTGCAGCAACCCCAGGGGTCTGGGTGATCCAGTTCTCTCCAGCAGCATTATCCCATCTGCCCGGGGTATTTTGGGTGGGGCTGTGGAAGGAACGGGAAGCTCCCTCCTTTGGGATCAGGGGCATTAAATCTGAGTGCTGGGGAGCAGGATCCCAACCTTCCCCCACCACATCCCTGCCTGCTTCCAGCATCCCACCCTGAGCATTCCTGCTGCCGGCATCCACCCCATCCCTGCGTCCAAGGCTGAGAAACCTCAATTTTCCCTTTAATTCCCTATTTTTGGGTGAAACACGGCGGTATTTGGGAGAGGCCACCCCGGATTGCAGGGTCTCAGTGACCCCCAGACTCCCTCTCCCGTCTCTTCCCACCCTCCCGACACTCAAGCCCTTGGAAAAAAGGTGATGTAATTCCTTGGGAGGACGCTGAGTGTCTGTGACAGGGTTTAACCTAAGCAGTTTTAATGTCTCACGTTCGGGGGGTTTCATGCCCAGCCTGCAAAACCCAGTTACGGTTTTCAATCAGCCTTGGGGAGCCGGGATGTGCATCCCAGGGAATGCGCTCCCACCCGGAGCCGGGAGGAGGAGGAGGAGGGGGGCGGGAGGAAGGCCGGGGCTGTTCCCCAGGGAAGCACAGCTGGATCCCAGCCAGCTGCTGGCTCAGCAAAGCTTCCCCCAGACGGAGCTGCCTGAATCCCGGAGGAGAAGGAGGTTTAGGACACACGGGATGGACTTTTCCAGAGGCAGTGCCGGGGCTGACAGCCACCCCTGAGGGATGCACGGCCTTCCCTGCTCTGCTCATCCTCCCCAAATCCTCTGGCCACTCCATCCATGGACACCTGCACGTCCCTGTCGCTGTGGAAAAGCATTCCTGAGCCGCAGCTGCCGGCACATCCCGAGCTGACAGCTCCTTATTCCAGGGAAAGCCAGGACGCTGCTGTTTTCCTCCTGGTGCTTAACGAGGAGGAAAAACCCCGCAGCAGCCAAAGGCTTTCATCCCCAGGTTTTGAGCACCAGAGCCCAGTCCTGGCTCCGGGATTCACGGGAGGTTGTGAGAAGCACCAAAAGGAGATTGTCCCGAGGGAAATCCAGGTGGACCTGCCTAAATCCCATCCCGATGGGATCCACGGGGGCCATCGGGGGGGATTTGGGAAGTGTGACCCCTCATGGGTGCCACAGAAAACTCTTCCCATGGGAGCACCCAGCACCTCCAGCCCAGGATGGAGCCCCCAAGGACCCCCCAGGTAGGGAAGAGCCGAATCCAATCTCCCCATAAATCCCACTCTCAGGTCTGCTCCATGGAGATTTGCCTCAGCCCTCGTTAATCTGGGATTACAGCAGCACTGGGGCAATTAACTAACGAGCTTTTCCAGCAGCAGACAATGCCTTGCACAGCCCACGGACATTAATGGGGTGAGAAGGAGGATTTCGTGCAACACTTCCTTCAAAACCTCCTTCCCCGGGAGAGCTGATTCCTTTCTTTCCCCTCATCCTGCTGCAGGAGGCAGAGGGGGCCGGGCTGGGGAGGGATCTGCCGTTCCCATGGATGCTGCAGGCTCATCCCTCAGCACGGGCAGATCCTGCTGTCCCACGCTCCTTCCCCAGTCCCAGGAGGAGCTCCTGGCTCCACAGAGAGCCAACACATTGGGAAGGACAAATTCCCATGGCAGAGCTGCCTGCTCTGCTCAGTGAGTCCCTGCTGGTCCGAGGGGGGTGGGAGAAGCAGAGATTTTCCCAGGATCTGGACTGAGCCAGGGATGAACACTCCTGGATCCTGCCTCAGCCATGGGAATTGTGAATCTGGATGGGAGCCTGGAGCTGCTGAGGCTTGGCCCAGCTTTCCATGGGGAAAAGATCCCCCAGAAAGAAAGGAGTATTTTTCTGGGAGAGGAAAATCATCCCCAAATCCCCTTGGAGAGCCAGGGCTCCATGGGGGGATTCCCATCTGCCAGGATCCCAAACATCCAGGACCCTAAAAGGCAGGGATATTCACATGGATGAGCCTCTCTGGACCCAGGCATCTGCAGCCCTGATGCTGCAGCTGGATTTGGGTTTTTGAGCACCAGGATTTGGGAAAAGCATCCCAAAAACCAGAGCAAAACCCCTGGGGAATTCTCCTTGGGCCTAATAACTGTTAATAATATGTGGAATATTATAATATAATGTATATAAAAACCATGGTAGGCGCTAATAATATAGATAATATAATAACAAATATAAAACCATAGTATCTGCTAATAATATATAAAATAGATGTAATATAATCTATATAAAACCACAATAATTGCTAATAATATCTATAATGTAATAATATACATTAAGAAAACTAACAACTGCTAACAAATCCTGCCTTGGAAGAGCCCCTGGAGGTCAACAGCTTTGGATATTCCAAGAGAGAGCTCTTTCCCAACCCAGGGAAGGGACAGCCCCTAATGAAGGATAACTCCCAGATAAATTCCCAGAGGATGGAAGGACACAGCACTCACCAGATGAGAAGGTGCAGTGGGCCCGGGCCAGGCTGGGTGGGGGCACCCCGGGGCTGTAATTCCCAGGGCCAGGCTGGGATTCCCAGCTCTGGATTGCCAGGAAAGTTTCTTTAATCCTGCCTTGACGGAGGCCGGGGTTTATAGGGCTCGGCTCAAGGTTACCTTCACGCCGTTCTGCAACTGCCTCTGCTCTCCCTGCTCATCTTTATGTTAAATTATTCCCCCAAGTTGCCAGCATGGATGTGGGAAGAGGAAAATAAACAGGGGAGAGGCTTCTGGCAGGATTACGTTCCCTTCTGCTCCTTATTTCCCCGGCGGAGGTGTTCCTGCACAAAGTCTGGGAAGGAGGATGAGGATGAGGATGAGGAGAGCTCTCTCCTGCCTGGCTCCCTCAGCGAAGCAAAACCCTTCCAAAATCAGCAGAAACCAGCGGAAAATCCCTGCCGGGATGAGGCGGGAATCATCAACTCCCGCAAAGCCGCGGGGGGAACCCGGTGCCCCCCAACTTCCCGCACCAGCAGCCGCCGCTTCCCAGGCACAATTCCCAGGCACAATTCCCGGCGGGCCGGGCTCCTGCCGACCCCCGCTCGCGGAGCTCCGCGCTCCTTTTTTCTCCTATTTTTTAAAATTGCATTTCGCGCAGGGGCGGGGGGGCTGTGGAGGGTGGTGGAGCTGTTTGTTTTCTTCTCTTATTTTTTGGTTGTTCGTTTGTGTGGTTTTTTGGTTTTTTTTTTTCCTTTAGCCCCGGTTCCAACGCGCTCCCCCCGCCGGCAGCTCCTCTGCCCCCTCCCCCGAGCCCTTTTTCCTCCCCCACCGCCTCCTCCTCCTCCTCCTCACCGTCCCCGGGCCCTGCTCCCGGCCGCCGCTCCATCCCTGGCTCCATGCATCCCTGGCTCCATCCATCCCTCGCTGCCTCCATCCGCGGCCGCCCCCGGGAGCGGCGGGGCCGGGGGGGCTCCGGGCGCTGCCCGCGGCCCGGCCCCGCTGCCGGGGGGGCTCTGACGGTGCCGGTACCGCCCGGGGGGGGTTCGGTGATGCCGGTGCCGGCCGAGGAGAGCCCAGCCCGGCTGCTGCCGCTCGGCTCTGCCCGCAGCCGCTGCCGGGCGCCGCTTCTTAATGTCTCCATCCAGCGGCTCCGCTCCCTCCGCCGGCTGCCGGCCTTAACCCCTTCCCTCCCGCCGCCCCCGATGGGATCTTATTTTAAAATTTATTTCTTGTTTTCTCTGTTTTTCAGTGCCGGGAAGCAGCTCTCGGGTGGCCCCGGCCGCGCGCAAAGTGAGGGATACTGAGGATCTGGATCTCCCCGGGAATACGGTTCCATCCTCCCGGCACTTGGGACCGGCCCGGGGATTATTGAATGGAGCCGGCAAGGATTAAATTTACATTTAAAATATAAATAAATAAATATAAATATGTAGATAAACACGTACATTCCATATATAGCTACATACATAAATGGAAATGCATATAAATTATCTAAATAAGCATTCTAAATAAATATATCATTGCTAAATATATCAAAATAAATAGACGTATTAAATATATAATGGGATATATCTGTGGGTATATTTGCTTGCATATGTGGAATTTTTAAAATTTTTTTTTCTTTTTTTTTGTGCTGTCAGATCAATTAAAATTAACTCCAAATCTTCCCGAGCCTGGGAATAAGAAAAAATTGTGACTCAAAAGGGATTAAGTTGAGCGGGAATTTTTCCCCCACCCCTTTTATTGCCAACTTTAAGCGCTGGGGGTGATTTTAGGGGCTGCTGGTGGCAGCTGGGACCCTCATCCCCTTCCTGGTGCGGGCTCTGCTGTGATCCCAACCCCTCAGCATTCCCGGCTGTGGCACACAACGAGTCCCTCCAGGTGAGGAGAGAATTCCAAAGGGCTCCAGAGGGAACTCCTGAAGCTGATTAGGGCAGCACCTCCTCCCAAATCTTTGGGAATCTCCTCTCCCAAAGCCACATCCAGGAACACGGGCTGGCAGCGCGGAGTTTTCCGGGTGCCAGGAGAGCAGGGGGTGTTCAACACATCCACAGGGGTCCTTCATCCCGCGGGGATCCCCATTCCCGGTGGGAAAGCAGCAGAGGCAGGGCTGCATCCTGCCCAGGGAAGCGCAGCCTGGGCCGATCCCTGCGGGATTCACATCCCTGTGCCAGGAGCCACCCGGGCAGGCGCTGGACCTCGGCGCTCGTTTCCATAGGAAACCAGGCTGGGAATGCTGCCTCAGTCCCAGTCTGGGGGCTGAGGAGCTGGTCTGTGCTATTTTAATCCTCCCGGGATTGTGTTCGGCCGCACAGCGCTCCCTCCCTCCGGCTAAACTCCGGGAATTTTGGGAATGGGGGGAGGTGGTTGCCATTGCCCGAGGGCTTTGCAAACTCGCCCGTATTCCCCCCAAACCCAGCGATTCTTCCTTGTATTTTCTAAAAACAGGGACATCCCCTCCCTCCGCAGCTCCCCAGGGGGTGTTTGCAATTCCAGCTCTCCTGGTGGGATCGCGGTGCCCTCCCCTGGGAGCACCATCTGTTGGAATAAAGTTTGGCTTCCCAGGACCCTCCTGGGACATCAAATCTATTTTCCTTATGGGGCCACGGTGCAATGGAAGCGATTCCCAATCCCTGCTCCCAGAGATGCTGCACCAGGAGGACCCAATTCCGCAGGGTTCCAGGGTTGTTTTTATCCCAAAAACACCGAGGTTATTGACAAGGGACTTTTGACATTGGCCTGAAGTGTCCCCAGATAAATCCCTCCATCAGGGACGCTGGATTTTGAGCCAAAAGTGATTGTGGAGTTTCCTGGCACCAGCCTTATCCAGGGAAAAGGAGCCAGTGACTCCCAGTGCCCAGCACCGGGGTGGCTTTCACTGGAAAAGGGCAAATGCTGGATTCCACCCCGGTGGGGACACTGGAGTGACTGTCCCCTCCTCCCCAGCACTGCAGCCCTCGTTTATGGGCATTTAAAAACCTTCTAATTACCCGAGGGCTTGGGGAAAAGGGGATGCAGTGCATTATGATATTGGAAAAGCTGCATCCCATCTCATTTGGAGGATTAGGAAATGCCAGCACACACACAAACCCCCCCCCCCCCAAAAAAAAAAAAAAACCCAAAAAAAAACCCCTGGAAACAGGATGGCTGGAAAGATCCTCAGCAGAAAGGTAGGAATCTCCAATTTAAATGGGATGCCTGGTGCTGTTGTGCTCTGCTCCCTAACGAGCCAGGGTGTGGAAAAATAATTTGGGATTGAAGTCACTTTTGGGGTCTTTTGGGAGTGGAAATTTAAGTTTTTTGGGAGGCTGGGTGGTTCAGGGTACAGCTGAAAGGGAGTTTCTCTCTTGCTGGTCCCTGCCATTCCCATGGCAGATGCTGGAGCAGCATCCCAGAGCTTTTCCAGAGGTTTTGCCTTCTTCCCAAGGATGAAGCTGTGCTTGTGCTTCCAGGTCTGGGTTATAAGGGAGGTGACATCCAGGGAAGGGCAGGATAAGGAGCCTCATTTCATTTCTTGCTGGATTCATATCCCTGCTGACCTCCCAGGGTGTTCCTCTGCAGGTGGAAAATGTCCTTGCCATCCTGGTTTTCCTGAACTGGGGAGCTGGGCTGAGTTATCAGGGAGCAGCTGACTAAAAGTCAATAATTAGCAAATCTTGCACTCTCGGTGCCTCTGCTCCACCTGAGCTGTGTGGGGCAGGAAAGGGAATAATTCCCAGGAATCAGGAAAGTTGTGGAATAACGAGCTCCTGCTGGCCTTTCCTGCTCTTCTTTTCCACATTCATTTTCCAGAGGTACAACCTGGGCAGGAACAAGCTGGAATCACCGAAAAAGGGCTGAGCAGAGTTTTCCCCATGGGTTTGAATTGCTTTTAGGGGCAAATTTTGGGATCTGGAGGGGTTGGAGGCAGGAGATCCGTGCGAGTCATCCCCAGGAAAGGACAGAGCAGCCCCTGGCAGCTGCGGGGGAATTTCGGGAAGCCTCTCTTTGGAACTGGAATCCAACGCCCTGTGATCCCCCTGGAGCTGCTGAAGGCTTTTCCTCGGTCCTGGTGTTTCCCTGCTCCCCCGGGAAGCAGCCACGGTTCCCTGGGAATTCCGTGAGCCTCCCCCGGGAAGCATTCCCGGAGGGCCCTCACCTCTCCTGCCCTGCTTTTCCTTAATTAACTCATTAGGATGCCGGTGGCAGCGAAGTCTCCAGGGGGGAGCGGCTCTCCCGGCTCAGGCAGTGATGGATGTCCAATTCCCGCTGCCTGCAATCCCAAAAAACGCCCCGGGGCTGCAAATCCGGGGTCATTCCAGGGTAAAAAGAGGGGAAAAAAATAGGAATTGGGATGATGCAATGCTCAGGCTTTTGTGGATGCTCACGGAGCCGGGAGTTTGGACACGGAGCTCTGGAGTATTGGTGTTGGTTTTGTGATTATTTGGAGTGGGGGGAATTAATAAAAAACCAAACAAGAAAGAGGCAACCGTGTGGATTAAAGCTGGAAAGAAGAGGATTAAGGGATTGAAGGGGAAATAAGTGCTGGGAATGCAGATGGAGGGGATATTTCCCCTTTCAGCCACCCTGCCTGTGGGAAAAGAGGGGAAAAAAAGGTTTTGATAAGCTCTTTAAAAAATTCATGAGGTTTCCAACGCTGTGTTTGTTTATTTGTTCCCCAGGGATAAACTCCTGGAATACAACATCCCATTTGTCAGCAGGGCCTAAATCAGATTGGCCTGCTAATAAATTATAAAAACAACACTTTGAGAATGTGCTGCAGGCCCCGGGGGGTGGTGGGGGGGCATTTTGGGTCAGGAAAGAAAGATTTAGGGCAGGAGGGGATGCTCCATCCAACCTGGCCTTGGACACTTCCAGGGATCCAGAGGCAGCCACAGCTTCTCTGGGCACCCTGTGGCCAGGGCCTGCCCGCCCTCCCAGGGAAGGATTTCTTCCCTGAAATCCAACCTAAATCTCTCCTTTTTTAGTTTAAAACCATCCCCCCCTTGTCCCCAGCAGCACAATTCTCTCCCTAAACACAAAGCATTCCTTAAGCCAGGCAGGAATTCCTTAGCAATGGGCGTTTTGCAATCCATGCCCCTGCCTCCTGCTGATTTTGGGCTCAGGGCTTTGTTCTGCAGAGGTGGTGAAGCCCAAAATGTGATGGAGATTCTTGTCAGGGGTGTTCTGAGTATTCCTGGTGCTCCATAAGGAGAGGAGGCACATCCCATTCCCCCAGCCCCCCTCAGGCACAGCACCTTCCCTTTAAACCTCAAAAAAGGATCGAATTTCCATTTCTTCCCACTAATTCATGGATCTGGGTTTGTCTTTCACGTGTTGTTGTTCCAAGCTGCCCTTGGAGCGCAGCAGGCACTGGGATGAGACTGTGCCAGGTCCTGCCAGGAGAATCCACGGAGGCATCACCAAATTGGAATTCCTTCCTGCCCTGCAAACTCGGGGCTTTTGGAGGATAAATGTTCGAAGGACGGAATTTTTGGAGGGATGAGGGGTTTGGATCAGCGAGGGGCTCCCCAGCTGCACCCACCCTGGAAGGGCAGCGTGTCCTGGATGCAGCACTGGGATGCAGGGAAATAAATCCTCCAGCAGCTCCTGGGAGCCTCAGGGATGATTAAATCCCCGGGATAACAGTGATGGATGTGGGGAAGGGCTGGAGCAGAGGCAGGGGATGATGATCTGCCCTGACCTGGGCAAAAGGCAGCTCCATGAATCCTGCATCATGGATGGACAGGACAAGGCAGAGCTGGAAGTTTTCCAGTGAACACTTTTTGGAGTTTTGGAGCCTTGGTGGTGCTTTTGGACTGGATCAGGACATTCCCAGCTGGAGCAGGTCCCCAAATCCTGGTGGCAGCGCAGGTGTTTGGCAGGGGGGGAGCAGAGGAACCATCTGTGTGCACAGGGATCATCCTCACGCTTCCATGGAGCTGTGAATCCAGAGGCAAAGCTGCTTCCCGTGGCTTTGCCACAGGATTTTGGCTCTTCCCTCAGCTCTGGCTGATAAATGAGCTGTGAGCTGCCTCTCACCCTCCCTGGGGCAGAGCTGCATCCAGAGGGGGAAAAGCTGGAGAACAGTGAGGCAAATCCAGATTTCTTCCAATGTGGAATGGGGAAACTCAGGAAAAGCTTCCAAAATCCCCATTTTTGCCCCATTTTGCCATCCTCCCTTGGCAGCTCCTGGCAGAGGGATTGGCTCTGCCCTCCTGAGGAAGAGGAGCAGCCCAGGGCCGGGGTGAGGGCAGGGGGGTGGTGGGAAGGACGAAATGCCACATCACTGAGTGATGGCCCCCAGGCAGGAGTGACATAATCCCACAAAACAGGAGGAGATCCCAGGGATTCTTGGGGGGGATCCATCCCCTCCAACCTTTCCTCCCTGGATCTGGAGCTCCTGGAAAGCTGCTCCTGGCCAGAGAGCTCCCAGCACAACGATTCCCCAGCCTGGCCAAAGGCAGGAGATTATGGAGCTTTGGAGCAGGCACGTGGAATGGCTGTGTCCTACTTTTGGAGAGCAGAATCCAGTATTTAAAAAAAAAAAAAAAAAAAAAAAAAAAAAAAAAAAAAAAAAAAAAAAAAAAAAAAAAGGAAGAAAAAGCCACAGTTGTGTTGAGAGCAAATACAGCAACGGGCTTCTCTGGAGTGACAAAGCCCAGCCAGGGTGACAGCCCCACAGCCTGGCATGTCCCCTGGGAATATGGAAAAGGGTTTGTTTGTCACCCAGAGTCTCCTCTCCCCACTGGGAAGCCTCTCCAGACACAGTTCAGGCTGACACGAGCAGGGACTTCCCTGGGGAGGAGCAGCCAAGCGGCGCCTTGGCAGTGTCCTCCTCTTTGTCCTTGTGATCCCATCCCTGCTCCTGCCCCTATTCCTATTTATGGCCCTATCCCCACCCTATTCTCATCCCTCATTCCCCATTTAATTCCATCCCAGCCCCATTTCTCATCCCCATCCTAATCCCCTCTTATTCCATCCCTCACTCCCCATCCCATCCCAATCCATCTCATCCCATCTCTCATTCCCCATCCCATCCCAATCCCCCATCCCATCCCCTCCCCTCCCTGACTGGGAGCCCTCCCTCACCAATCCATGCCCAGACTGGAACCAATTAACCCCTTAATCACCGAGTGGAGGCAAAGGGAGCAGCAGGTGCTGCTGGGGGACATTCCCAACCTTCCCCCGGGAATTCTGTGACTCAGCCATGGATTTACTGCCTGTGCTCCATTATCCCCGATCAATAGAACAGTTATTACTTAATGGGCTAAAATTGTCATTCTGAGGGCCCAGATCTGCCTGTTCTGGCACTGCTAATTAGGGGGGGGCTTAATGAAAATGTAAATCCAGGCCCATTAATCAAACAATTATTTGGGAACCACGAGACAGCCGGCGCTGAACCTAATTAAGAAATAAACAAAGTTAATCAGCAAGCAGAAAACATTTACTAATCAGAAAGGTACGCTGTGAGCAAGAAATATCAGGCAATCATTTATTAAACATTCCCAAACCTGCTCCACTCCTTAATAACCTCACATTCCAGCTTCCAGGAAGGCCCATCCTGGGTTTATTAAAGCATTTGTTCTGCTTTAGGGTCCACTGGGTACTGCAGAACAGAAACTTATTACTCTGCCAGAAGAATAATTGCATCAATTTCAAATAATAGGGCCAGGGCTCCATTGGGGACAGGGGGTGGCACCTGATCCTGGGGCTGTTTGGGTTTAATTATTGGCATTTAGAGCTCACCCAGCTCCAAAGTTAATTCTGATAAAAATAGAAGGATTGCAACGACACCTAAAGATGGAGCTGGTGACATTTCCTTTCCTGGAAAACCTGCTTGTCTGGGATAAATGGGAATATTCACTCCAAACTTCCTCCTGCCCAGTGCCAGTTCCCATCATCTCCAATATTTCAAAAAATAGGAACAGCTTCAGGTCTCTAAGCTGCTTTACAGTTTCCCCTTTGACCCTGCAGCAGGGCTGGGATGTGGTCCTGGGGTTTTATCCATAAATCCATGGCTAGGCAGGATTCTGGTGCTCCCATCCCGTTCCTGCTCCTTTCCATCTCCAGGATAGAGAGGGGTGGGGCTGAAAGTCCCGGGAATTGGGGGGGCTGGGAGGAGACCCAACCTTGATACCCCCAAAGCCCCCAGCGCTCATCCCAATCCCTTTTCCCTGTCTTTTTCCAGAGCCACAATTAAGCCCATTTTCCCCCCAGCCAGGCTTAGCAGCTGTTTATCCAAAACCTCCATCATTAGGTTAATGATTCTCAGCAAATTGTTTTATCCACAGCCAGGCTCATCTCGAAAATGGAGCAGGAATGTCAGCAGCTCCATCAGGAGAGGTGGACGGGACAGTCAGTCCATTGTTCCCCCCTGGATATCCCACACATTGTTCCCCCTCTGGATATCCCACAATGTGAAACCTTCCAGGTGCTGCTCAGGACCCCAATCCCAGCTCCACTGGTGCAGGAACAGATCCACCAAGGAGGAGAGATGATTTTGGTCTCCATCCATCCATCCATCCATCCATCCATCCATCCATCCATCCATCCATCCCATCCATCCCATCCATCCACGGGACAGACACATGTCTGCAGCCCCCAGTCCTGCTTCCCAGTTTAGTGACAAACCCTCCTGCTCTCCACAGGGATTTGTCACCTGTTCCTGCACCACACGATGCTGGCAGCACTCCCTGGACATCCACATCCAAGAGGAATCCCGGGAGAGCAGCAGGATGCCAAGGGCAGGGACAGGAATGCTCAGGGACAGCCTGGGGTTTGTGGGCTCTGCTCCAGCCCTGGGGACACCAGGACACGGTGAAAATGACCTGGGGACAAGGTTTATTTGCCTATCAGCTCCTGGCTGCTCCTTGTCCTGAAGCCACCTCGTGTCCCCAAGGCCACGACATCACTCGCATCCCAAAGGAGCAAATTTCCTGTGCCAGCGCCGCATCCCTGTCAATAAATAAATGGGGGTGTTTAAAAGGCTCCTTTCCACACTAATGCTGAAAATTTCCTCCCAGTGCATCTGTGTCTCTTCTACAAATTCACCAGCATAAAAGGGTTAAGGAGGTGCAGATTTGGGTCAGCACATTCCCCCTCAGGCAGGGACTGATTTTCCAGGAGCTGAAGCAAAGCTGAAGCAAAATTCCCACCCCATCATCCCCCAGCTGGGGAAAACAAAACGTGGAGGGAGGGACCTGCTCCAAGTGCCCGTGGCAGCCTGAAGAGGTGTCAGACCCCTTTCCAAAAGCCGGAATATCCGGGATGTAAATCCTCCCCATCCCAGGGACAGAGCAGCACTCCTTGTCTTGGCTGTCCCAAGACCTTGGCTGCAGCTGGTTGGCACCAGGAAAGGAATTTTAAACTCCATTTCAGCGTAAATCCTTAAATCCTCGTCTGAATTAAATGTCAGTACACCCCACCTCCTTCTGCCTTTCTCCCCAGCCCCTGCGTGGGATGCTGACCAGGGTTTCAAGTCGATTGGGGGGAAAAAAGACATGGAAAACAGCCCGGGATGGATGAACATTGTGCTGCCACCACCACCAGCTGCCCTATGGATGGGTGGCCCTGTTGCCACCTCCTCCTGTCACACCCTGCCCCTGGGACAGCAGCCAGCGACCGCTTCCATGAGCACCGGAGACTTCCCAGCACCTTCAGCCACCTCTGCAGGACCGCGAGATTCCAGGGATTGGGAAAAGGTGGGTGACCCCCACGGGTGCCTGCGTCACACCAGCAGGTTCCCAACCTGTGCATCAGCAGCTGCCCCGCAGCCTCGGGATGATTTCCAGGGCACCAACGCCATGCCCGTGTCATTTTTCAAACAATTAAAGATAAAGAGGCCCGAGCGCGGCTCATGTTTCAGCCTTAACGCTGCTGCCAAATATCATCACGTCAGCGGCGCTTGTAAAACAAAGGAGATCGATAAGATTCCCACTCCGGGAAAGCAGCTCCGGCCCGGGGTTATCCTGGTGCGCCGGAGCCTGCCAGCTCCTGTGAGCCCTTCCCAGGGACCTGCTGGGCTTTATTTTCCCTTTTCCCGGGTTTTTGATTCAGCAGCTGCTTAACGGGCTTTGCTCCGTTCTTCTGTTTCCCCGGCGAATTCCAGAAAAACTGGGGGTGGAAAGGAATTTAAAATTCACCCCATTGCACCCCTTGGTGTTTTCCACTATCCCAGGCTGCTCCAAGCCCCATCCAGCCTCACCTTGAGCCCTTCCAGGGATGGAAGGAGTGCGTTTTTCAGGGATATAACCTACCTCCATTACACCTTGCAGAGCAGCTTTCCCTCAGGCAGGTTTCCATTCCCACTTTTCCTGCCGGTCTCCAAAGCCTTGTTTCCCTGAAAACTTTCCAGCTGTTTGATCACAGCCAATTTGCAAGGCCAAGACATTTAAAACACCCTGAGAGCAGCTGGGGATGAAAGGTGCGAGCTCCAGCAAGGTGAGAGCTCCTGGAAACTCATCCTTTGGGAGAGTTTTGGAGATAAGGCAGAGCCTGAATTCCCCCTCTGGAAGTGCCACCTGCCTTTACAAAGGAGCGGGAGTAGCACGGAGCTGAATAACTCGGATTTTAAAAGGAAAATACTCTTTGTTAGAAGCTGAATAAAGCCCTGATTTGCCGAGGCTCTGGAGATCTTGGCTGTGGCACTCAGGGTTTCCATGACAGGGCTCTTATCAGGGAGATACCGATCAGCTCCTGGGCTCTGCCCAGCTGGCCCTTAATTAACGATGCTGACCCTCATCAGGGGACAAAGAGGAGTGACAGAGACACCCGCGAATTTCTCAGGCTCCTTCCCTCTCAAATTCGGCCCATCCTGTTTACCAACACCCCCAAGGCTTCTCGGTGGCAATTCCCTTTGACCCGAACTAAATTAATTTTTTTTTCTCCTTTTTGTCTGCCACAGCTTTTATTCCCTGGTTTGACCCGATCAAGGCGAGCCTTTTTGTTCAGACAGCTTTTGAAAGGAGTTTGTGGGGATTTTTTCCCAGCAAACCTGAGAAATCCGTTATCTCTGCAGCCCTAATGGATTCAGGGAGCTGCTCAGATCTCTGAGAGCAGAAAACTGCAGTTTTCCAGCCTCGTTCCAGCTGCTCCATCCAGCTTGGAGGGCAGGTGCTGGCATCCCACTGCCTGATCTTCCCAATCCGCCCGTGACCTTTGCTGGGGGGCTTGCATTCATGGCCCAGCATTCCCAAAATATTCCCAAAGGAGCCGTGGCCGTGTCCCCCACAGCGAGGGTGCAGCTGCTCCCCAGCTCCCATCCCGCTCCTGCCAGGCTCACATTCCACTCCCAGCTGATCAGAACCCACCTGGATCCCAGGAAAATGCAGTTTTCCAGCTCTTGGTGCAGCAGCAGGATGCAAAAGGGCTGGATCCACATGGCAGGGACTGGGGGAGGGAGTGATCCCATCCCATCCCATCCCATCCCATCCCATCCCATCCCATCCCATCCCATCCCATCCCATCCCATCCCATCCCATCCCATCCCATCCCATCCCATCCCATCCCATCCCATCCCATCCCATCCCATCCCATCCCATCCCATCCCATCCCAGCTGCATTCCTCATTCCAGTTCCACCTCCTGGGTTCTCTCCCAGTACAAACCAGTCACCATTATGCCCAGTTAATATTTAAGCTGGGCTGAATCAAACTCCCTTTCCTTTTCCAATTCCCTTCCCATTATCCCGTCTACTTTTCTCGGAGTGTGGATTCTGTTGGAATCTGGGATTTATGGCAGCTGCTGACCACTCCTCTCCCCAACTGCCATAAGTTACACTCCCATTCTGCTGCCTGCAATAAAAATAAATAAAAAAATAATAAAAACCCCTGATATTTATTGTCTGGATTTTTCTTCCCCAAAAAAGTCAGGAAATTCTCACAACCACTAAAGCACAGCTCCATATTTCACTGGCACAGGAGGAGCTGAGCATCCCCTGGGGTTCTCCAATGGCCTCTCCCACTCTCCCACACAAGATCCAACATTCCCCAGTGGGAAAAAAAGGTCCCAAAACTCAGCTTCCCCCAGGAAAATCTTCATGGCCTCTCCAGATGCCAGCAGGACCCTCACCACTGCAGTGGCCAGTGCCCAGAGGAGGGGGCAGCCGCACTGGGGTGGAGAGAGAACCATTTATTTCAGGCTGAGGACTGATGAGATGAAAGCCATTGATCCCAGCTCGTAATTACATTGTTATCTCTGCCCCTGGAGATAAAGAGATTTCTCCCTGCTGGCTTTTGGAAAAGCTGGGCTCCAAAGCGGATAGAGGAGGGATTTATTTATTTGAGCTCCTCTGTTTTTTACGTGAAATGTTAAAGAGGAAAAGCTTGGTTTATTTATTTTATTTTATTTTTTTCCTCCAGGAGATGGGAAGCCAGGGAAGGTTTCCCTCCTGCTCTTGATGTCCAGGATCAGGCAGGAGATAAGGAAAGCTCCTTAAAATGGAATTTTTAATGAATTATCCCACAGGAGGTAATCAGAAAACAGCACTGCAGGGCATGAGCTGGGTCACTGGGTGCTACTGTGACCTCCTGGAGCCACGGGAGCCTTGGAGAGGAGCACACTGGATTTCACAGCAATGGAATAAGAGCCTAAGACTGCCAACTCCTCCATCCCATGGCTTTTCTCCAGGGATGGTCCTGGCCCCTCTCCCAGATCAGGACCTGCCTCAGGTCCTGGCAGCTGCTAAAGGTGCTGCTGCCATCCCCATTTCCCAGTCCCCTGGATCAAGAACAAACTGGGATTGATTTCCCAACCACTGTAAATCCCTGCTCCTGGCTGGCCTGGCCAGCACCAGGACGAGAATCCAAATTTTGATTGCTCCAAAGGTGCAAATCCCATTAGCACTCGAGGAAAGGGGCTGGGAGAACAGAGTGGTTCAGATGTGCTGAGGTGGAATTAAAAGTGGGAAGGCACCTACAGAAGCAGGAGATTCAAAGGATGGTCTTGAATGAGCAAATTTGCAATCCAAGGACTTTGCTCCGAGAGAGGCTGAGAAGAAAATGGGAAGAGAAATAGGAATTAGAGGGAATAAATGTTCCTTTCTTATTCCTATGGATTTGAGCAGAATCCCTATTTGGAATAATTTTCCATGCAGGAATTCACAACCAACCACGGCTGGCTCTGCTTCATCCACAAACCACCACAGCACCTTCATCCCAGAGAATCCTCATCCCAGTCTTCATCTGGAGCTGGATGGTCTCTGCTGGCACCCCTTGGATTGGATTTCTGGGCTGGGAGGTCTTGGATGGGGCTGGAATTCCTCCGCTGGGATTTCTCTGCTGGGCAGGAAATGGAGAAGAGGAGGGAAAATCAATGAGAAGAACCCGACGCTGGAAAACAAAAACAATAAAAAAGAAGTTAAAGCTCAATTTTAAGTCTGCTGGGAACATTTTTCCAAGAGGACAAAGCCTCGACTCTTCCCTGCCGCTGAAGGTTTGAGCGTTAGGAGCTGCAGGAGCGGGGTGCGATTGCCCCAAAAATTTCCCAAATTCCTGGAAATATCAGGACCATCCTTCCGGCACCTCCTCCCCGCTCCGTGCCTGGAGCTCCAGTGACATCTGCTGCTGTCTCTGGGCATCGCCACCGGCCCGGCCACCGCCGCCCCCGGTCCCCCTGGGGATGTCCCCACCCCGGGGCTGCCACCAGCCCTGCCTGGGGATCGAGCCTGAAAACGCCCCAAGACAGGAAGGAAATAAAAGGAAATAAGGAAATAAAAGGAAATAAAAGTATATAAAAGGAAATAAATGGATATAAAAGGAAATAAAAGGAAATACTTTCTTGGTTGGAGCTGCCACCCCCCGAGGGAGCGGCTCCTCCTCCCCAAACTGGGGGTGACGGAGGGAACTGGGAGGGACAAAAATTCCCCCACCACCACTCCTGCTTTTCCTCGGGGCTTTCACCCCCAGGCACCAAGTGAGGGGAGCCTGTGGATGATTTAAACCTGCACGGTTTTACCCAGGATATTCCCAAACCCAGGAATTCCTGTTATCCCGCCGGGGGAGCCAGGATCTTTCTCCCAGGATCTCTCTCCCAACCCACCCCAAACTTCTCAACATCTCCAGCCCAACTCAATTCCAGCAGCCCAAACCCACCAGGAATTCCCAGAACCAGGCCCTTTGTCCACCCCATGAGGTTCCTGTTCCCACAGGGAATGAAAGAAGCAAAAAAATCTGGGGTTTTTTTGTTCTTTTCCAATAGTCTCACTTTATTAGATACCACATCAAGAGAGGATGTTGTGCTGCATGCAGCGGAAGACTGGAGGATTTCTAATTCCTGTGTAAGGTTTTCTTTTTGTCTTTAACAGTTGTAAACTGATATTTGGCTGTAAAATCACTGCATGCGAGTCTGAATGCAAACAGCAGTAGAAGAGGCTTTTAATTTTCTTTTTTTTGCTTTTTTTTTTGTTTGTTTTTCACCATTCCCAATCCATAGGTGCATGCTTTATTTACAACAAAAAGAAGTCATTCAGGGCAGGAATTACCATCAGAAAAACTGAGAAGAGGAGGGGACAGAGACCAGGGCTGTGGTTTTGCACGATACTGAGGAGATTGGCAAGTTGCACTTGATTTTTGGAGGTGCAAAGAGATGATCTGAGTACCCTTTTCCCAAAGAAAGCAGGCTGAACAGGGAATGGGAATACAGGATGGGGTAAGGGCAACCTTAAGTGAATTGTTCTGCACATACAAAGGAGGCTGGGCTGCTGCAGGACTGGGAGAAATTAAGGAATTGCTTAAATAATTATTTTTAAAGGCTTTTTTTACCCTCAGCCACACATTTCCCCAGCACAGCTCCATGCCCAGGTGCTGCTCTGGGTATGACCAGGAATGTTTGGGTCAGGTCCATCCCTCTGGAAAGGGTGGTGGAAGCTTGGAGTCATTAAGGTTGAAAAAGGGAGAGTCCAACCATTGCTCCTGGATCCCACCATCCCACAGCTCAGCTGGGCCTGCAGCAGGGAGGCTTCAGCACAGGATGCAGAGGGGAACAGTCCAAAAAAAACAGGATTGTTTCAGTCTGCTCCTGGCCAGACAGGCTCAGGGATGCCACACTGACCAGCACAGAGGCAAGAATTCCATTAAAAAGTGGAAAATTTCCAGGTGTCCTCTTCCTTTCCACACCAAGCCAAGCCACAAGCACAACCACATCACCTGGGGTGATGGAAGAGGATTCCCAGCCCTGGCTGGACCCTCTGGGGTGGGTTGGGTTGGCTTTTCCCACCTGGAGATCCAAGGAGGGGGGAGCCTGTGCCAGGCTGGGCCAGCCCAGCACAGAGGGGTTTGTGTCACCCAGGGCTGGGGACACTCAGGGCACATCAGCAAGTGCTGCTGGAGGTGGGGGGAGATCAAGGAAATATCAGGAGAACGGAACTCATCCAACTCAGAGAGAGGGCAGCAGCAGCAGAGGGGGCAGGGGGCTTGGGGGGAGAGGTTTCACACACCATGCTCAGTGTGACAAAAAAATTCCATACATTCCATATGTGCTTAGTGTGCTCCTATCCACAGGGCCTGGGGTTTTCTAGAGCCAGGGAATGGTTCCAGAGCCAGGGAATGGTTCCAGAGCCAAGGAATGGTTCCGGAGCCCAGCAGCTGCAGTCTGTGCTCTCCTGCTGTCCAGACCAGATGCAACAGCTCCAGGCCACCCTTAAAGTGCAGGCTGAGGGTTCTCGTGCAGAAAACTGGGGGAAATGAAAGAAAACCAAACCAAAACAACCCAAGTTTGGAAGATCTCAGACTGTTCCAGTTAATTCCAGGAGCTGTGGTGGTTTAAAGCAATAATCCTTGCACACATCAGGGGGCTGGGGGGAAGCAGCAGCTCCTTCAGCTTCCCTCCCGAGGAACAGCAAATCCTTGGAAGCAGGAGGGGTCTGAGGGGACCTGGGACCCCTTCAGGGCTCGGCCAGTCACTACTACACAGCTCAGAGGTGAAGAGGAGGTAGTCACAACCCTAAAACACCTGGGCTCCTACAGCAGCAGAACCCCCAAATTCCTCGGGTGGAGGAACCACCCGCGGTGGCCAGAAACGACAGAAACCAACCCAAACCTGCTCCCCTGCGAGCACAGAGCTCCCTAAACCCTCCTTGTCGCTGTCATGGTGTTGGTGGTGGATCTTCTCAGCAAAGGATGTGCCACAACACTGCTCA